ATGATCTGAGACTTATCTTCATTGTCAATAATGGATCTGTGTTGGCTACGTATGGTGCGAAATAAGTTCAACATACAGACAACCCTTGACCGAATTTTATATTACATATATGAATCTAGCTTTGGACATAGTTAGAATTCACAAGGTGACAGGTTCAATTTCTGATCAGACGTTGACTCAATGGTTTATCCCTTTGGGGATGATGAAATGAGGACCTCTTTATGGGAAGTCAACATTTTGATTTTCTTATAGCCTCCCCCCCTTGACAGTAATATACCATTTCCACCATTGCCTCAAGGCTGTAAGCCAATAAGCACTGCCACATGGTCTTTTTAGTTGGGGAAACATTGACTTTTTTTGATAAATCCAAATATTTAGCAAGAGAAAATAGGTAGATGTTTAGTCTACAATTATGTGTCTGCAGTATGCGTATAGCAGATGGTTAGGATAGAAATTAAAGGAACCTGATTATGTTTAAGCACAGTTTTTGTTCCACATCATTACACGTGATTAATTAACGAAGCGCTAAAGCACACGCAACATACCTGTAAAAAAAAATCTAAATTGATTCTCGTTGCAATCCTGAGCCAAACGAGTACAGATGTTTGACGGTCACGCCGACCTGCCCCACACACCCTGCCTCGCTGCACGAACATCGCCGTCAATGGACAATGATTGCCGCAGTCTCCCTCGCGTTAGAATGCTGGCTCCCCTTGATCCCGGCTCTCGAATGCTCTCTGGGTTTTAGACGCCGATGAGTTGTGCTTCGGTTACCGAGAAAGTCCTCCGTCTTCGTAATAATCACAAGGGTGTTTCATTGGCCATGCCATTTTTCACAAACCTTGCGCATTATTAGTTTCTTTAAGTCTTCAAACGTAGCTGTGTTAAAGAGTGGATCTGCACCTGGGCCATGCAGGATCAAAGGCGTCGATAGATAGGTAGGAGACACGTGACGTGTCAATCTGGTATGTTGTCATAGTCGGCCTCATCGCTCTGCAAACTGCAAAGCGCACATCCCCCATATAAGCCAGCTGCCTGTACCGATTAGCGTAAGCGGAGCCTTCGGCACGTCCCACCACGTCCGAGCACACAGGAAGGCTTCCGTGTGCACAGGGGCTCAGTTATGCACTGGATTTGTTCCTCGTATTAAAAGCTGAATTACTGACAAACATATTTTAGTGCATCTATAGTAATATGGTGTTTTGACAAATATTGTAATTCAGGCTTATGTCAATTCGTGTTTATAGCAAGCTGTCACAACCAACCAAAAAGCATTGAATGTGTTTTTCATGCTCTGAAGGTCAGGTTATCCTTTAAAGAAAGAAACAAAAAATTATGAAAAGAAGATTTTTGGTGTTTCTCATCCTTTAACTTTTTTTGTTATGAAGCTCATGAAATTGACATACATCTTCAGAAATCGATCATATTAAATCGTCAATGTTGAAAGTTTTTTTGTCATAACAGAGACACTAATCGTCACTGGACAATTATGTAATGCAGTGTTGATCACTCTGCTGGCGTGTACTCTACAGGGTTTATTTTTGCACCATTTCATGCTCAGCTTTGTTGTTATTTTTATATTTTCTAATCGCGGGTAAAGGTCGCGGCATCGGAGCGCGTGCCATTGGCCGATCTCCATGATCACCCAGAGACACTGCTTTATTTATTCATGAGCAGGGCCTTGCATTTCTGGCCAGTTTGCAGCAGAGTTGATGTCTCCTTAACATACCAGAGTGACATCCCACGGAGATTTTTCTTTAACTACTTCAGGTACTCTAAATCTCACGTAATAGTGCATGGGTATAAAAGATAATTCCTCTTGAGACTGTGGAACGGAACAAACAATGGAGCACAGGGTCAGCTGCTGACTGCTCATCCGAGCCCATTGAATGATGGCAGCGCCAAAGCAATTAATCAGCTTACAGCCAATGCCCCTGAATGGCTTAAAAACCTGGACATCAATTTCTAACGTTGATTGCTGTTCCCAAAATCGGTTGCTTAACTCTGCAATACACCGTGCGAAAGAAGTTGTACGTTGGTATGCAACAACAGTGCTGTGTGCAGTTAGGATGAATAACTCACCTTGTTGCATCTGCGATGCAAGACATTGCACATCTTGCTGCCAAATAACGCTCGTACTTTTTTTTGGAATTGCAATCCAGGAGGACTGATTTAAAAATGATACATCACCAAATACACTGCACTTATTGAGAGCGTTTTTAAACGCGACACATACAGAACAATCCACGAAGGTATTTCTGATACAATTTGACAATTGTAATTTTACGTGGACTGAGGCCTTAAAGTCAATGTAATTGCACCTTTGAAAGGTTAAATGACAGGATTGATAGGTTATTTAAACTCAAATGGAATATTAAATTGTCAAATTAGATTTTTAGGAAGGCACATTGGCTGAAACATTTCCTCTATGTCATGCTGTTACACCTGACAGCCAAAATGTTTCAAATTTGATATTCCCCTCCATATCTTTTTTTGGGCAATTTTATATTCATGTATGGGCGCGATAATGTTACATATATCTTGCATTAACTGCCAAAGCTGCTTGTAACAAGTCATACACAGGACACTTAACCTTTACTCAGTTGTTCTTCATAGGTACATAAGCAGTTGTTCCAAATTGATATCATTAGTTTCCTGCGATGATAAGCAGTGTCGTGCAATAGTTGTGTTGATAATGCCCTCAATCCGTTTCATCCCTCTATAAACCTTTTGCAAAGTAGAATGCATTACCGCGTTTTTACCTAGCAACGCTTAGATACCACAGTGATAAGTTTATTTGGGCCGTTAGTTTAACGCATTAAGTTTTAGTAATTTTTTATTTTCTTAGTTGTGTAAGCGCAATTTCCATGCTCATGCAAGCAATTTAGTGGCGCTCATCTCCATTGGTGGCCCTGAGCCGGTAATGGAAATTCCACATTCCTATGGTGGAAGGCTAGTAAAGATTGGGGGTAAGATGGCCGCCTTGCAGCTGTGGCTGTTTCCCGCTCACGACCTCCTTGTGTGCCAGTGCTGTGGTTGCCACTGCCCAACCCAAACTTTCCCTGTCCATCCCCTCTTCCTCCCTGCCGCTCTTATTTATTTTTCTCCCTGACCTTATTTGTTTTTGTTACACCCCCCCATCCCTTGCTATCTCCTGACCCTTGCCTGACCTTTCTTGCACGTCCTCGTCGGCCCTCGACACCACCTCATCCCATTATTATCTCGAAAATATTCTGCCCTCAGGGCTGCAAAGAAACTCGTCTGTGCTGCCCTGATAGCCCCTGGGATTTGTTAGTGAAGTAACCTGGCCCTCTGAGGCTGCCCTAGGACTCTTTGGTCAAGATCCTCGGGGACTCGTTGATGCTGCCCTGGCTGCCCCTGGGGCTTCGACTTTGATGTAGGGCACCGGTAGCTTCCATCCAAGCTGTGCCGCAATGTTGCTCTCTGCCTCTCTGTCCTCTCTAACCATGTTCCTCTACTCTGACTCCTCCACCCCACCCCCAACCAACTTGTACACAAATGTAATATTTTCATCTTTACTTTTGTAACGAGTCTTGAGATGCGAGTGCATTTAGACACTATATACATCAACATTGTTGTTGTTTTCCGTATAGTAATTGTTCAATAAGGGATAAAGGTTAAGTGTGGAGCACACTCAGTAATTCTCCTTATAAGGGCTACGACACAGGACACGCGCAAGGCAGGTGAGTGTAGTACAGGTAACGCCAGTTTTGCATGACGGTGACTCGCACGTTACTGGAATCGCTCCAGAAGGGCACGCGTGACGTGCCCTGTCCGGAAAAGCCGGGTTGGCTCATCGCAGAGTCTTTTTTTTCTTCCCCCAACAACTCCGCCCTCAGAAGACGCAGTGAACCCTGGACTTGCGGATTTATTTATTTTTACAGAAGTCATAAGCAACTCTGCGTGAATTAATCTTTGTTGATTGTACTTCATAAACCGAGGTTAGAACAAGTGCTCCGTGCCAGCACAATGTTCCCAATCTGTTCAACGGTGCAGGCGTGTAAAATTACAACTGTGCCGAGTGGGGTTTTTGAAGTTGTGCTGTTGTGTAGCTCCCCCTCCGATGTGTGTGTTTAGGTCGTACAGTGTGGGGTTGGGAAAGGATTCTGACGCTTTGCTGCACGTTGCTGCTGGGAGCTTCTAAAGTGCAGTTGCTTCAGAAGTTCCCCTCCAGCATTTGAAGTGAAATGCTCTCAGCATGAAAACAAAACCTGTACAATTTTTGGTCAATGGAACCTTGCACAAGACCGAAGAGCCTTTTGCCAAATGATAGTGATGTGCGAGAGCCGCCTGCTTGTGACATGACTCACTGATACGTACGTTTGTTTTACGTGCACATTCGTTACCGAGTAGGAAACTATTTAAGGAAGCATCAGACACTGTACTTCAGTTTTAAATATCCATACATAGAACAGCAATAGTTACGGGCAAATTACAAGACATCCTTGATGCAGTTATTAATTTTCCTACCCTTCAAACACATTTTGCACATTACTTGGATTATAAAATATTGTAAAAGCTCTTTTACTTATCAGTAGTGACCGTGATTTTTTCCTAGCCCTCTCATGTGACGAGTTGGAGTGGAAAAAATGGTTCAAAATCCATTTCATGGCCAACTCAGTCTGCGCAAATGTTTCTGAATGCAATTTTGGGAGGCAGCCAATCTTTGGTGTTTATAATGTGTAGAATTGATAATAGTAGTTATTTGGTATTTGTTTTGATGGCACAAATAGGGTATTAAGAGCAGCGTGTGTTTGAGTTTGTAGTTGTCTCCGACTGTAATTGTGCCCATGTATGCAGTGCTCCTTGCATCTTGTACATTGACTTACACTTGTGTGTTTTTTTTGTCGACCACACGTGTACTTAAGTTCAAGTTGGCTCCGCCACCCGTCACCTCGTTTGCTTCGTTTGCCGCTCGCTGAACTCCGCAACCAGACCAGGCTAACCGGGTCCCCGCTGTCTCTTGGTGTCCCTCGCAGTGTTGACAAAAAGGACCGAGCAGCCCTTCGCAGGAGAGAGTGGGAGCGTCGCAATCAAGAAACCTTGCAGGAGGACGAGGCCCTGACGGGCTCGGAGCACCTCTTCAAGGAGCCATACAAGGTCTGTGTCCACGTCCATTTCGATGAAAATCTGTACTCTTAGCCTGTTACGCACAGAAAGGTTCACCCCCCTTTCGCGATTCACTGAAATGTCAAGATTCCATTAAATAGTAAGTTTATAATTGAAAAAACTGTGAACTAATTATATTTGACTAAGTAAGGCGCACTGAGCTACATAGCTCTTTTATAGAAGTATCCTGGCCACAGTGAAGTTGTTTATGTGGAAATTTCTAGCATCGAAATACTCTGGACGCGCATTTCTAAATGTGGAGGGAAAAATTGGAGGACCCGGAGAAAAATCCACGTGACCACTTGGAGAAAATGCAAACTCCAAATATACAGGCATCGTCAGGGTCTGGATCGAACCCACAACCTCCTGTATAGTTGGTAAGAATGAAGAATTGATTAATAGTGGTGAAAGTTTCTTCACTTCCAAATAAAGTCTTTTACTGTTCCATTTACAAAACTTTTAAGTCTGTATTTTCCATTTATTTTTATGCCTTGGGAATTTGGTGGTTGTTTCCTGTGTAATTGAGCCAAAGTATTTTTAAGACAAGATGTGGTGTCAACCCGTAGAGTAGACCTGTATTGTTCAGAAAGAATTGGTGACTCAAATTATACCGTGTTTGTGTGTGTGTGTGCGCGCACGTCCGCGTTTGTGTTGCAGACGAACAGGGGGGATGAGCTTTCGAGTCGTATTCAGAGCACACTTGGCAGCTACGACGAAATGAAAGACATCCTGAGCAACAGGTCAACCCAGAGCCGATTTGTTGGCATCCCAGCAATGTCTGTCCCCCAGACACCAAGTGAGAAAACCGAGCAGAGCTTTTTTCCCGACCAGAGAACGGCTGTGATGCAGCCATACCAAGGGAGCAGCGGCACTGGCCGATCGTCGGGTCCCTCGTCCGCCTCCGCTAGTTCGGCCTCGGCCTCGGGCTCCGGTTCCAGCGCGGCCACGGGGTACGGCGGACCGTCGTTCAACCTGCCGAGCGGAAGCGGCAGCAAAAAGCCCGGGGCAGAGCGGTCGCGAGGAAGCGGCGGCGGCGGCGGTGGCGGACACAGCAGCTCCAGCAAGAACCGCCACTCGTCGTCTCACAGCTACAGCCACGGGGATCTCCGGCGCGGGGAGCACGGTGGCGGTGTGGACGCTCGCTCCAAGCAGCAGTCGATAAGCCCGGCGCCGACCGCGTCGTCCTCGCACTCGGGCCGCCACTCCTACTCGCGGGGCAGCGCGACCGGCGGTGAACACCACGGCAACGCGCGGGCGTCCGCAACAACTTCGTCGGCTGCCGCTGAGCAGCACCACGGGCGCGACCGGCACCGCTCCAAGTCTCCACGAGAGCCGCCCGAATTCTCTTCAAATTCGCCGGGGCCGAGCTCTTCTTCGTCTGCATCTGCGGCGGCGGCGGCGGCATCGTCCTCGCAGATGTCCAGCCAGGCCTTCCCTTCATCGCTGCCTGTCTCGAGCAAGCAGTCGTCGCTGCAGCAGAAGCCCACGGCGTACGTGCGGCCGATGGATGGGCAGGACCAGCAGCTGTCGAGCGACTGCTCCGAGCTGCCCTCATCATCGGGCCCTGCGGCCGTGACGGGAGACGTGGTCTACTCCTCGGGGCCGTCTGCTTACGGCGGTGCCGTGCCGGACCCCAAAGGATCGGCTGCGGCCGCCAAGGCCAAACTAACAAAAATAACAATCCCGCCCCAGCCCTTGGAGGTGAGTGCTGGAGCAAGTTGCTGTTCATCGCTTCACTTGCAGGCAGTGCCCCAAATATACAGTACAGTTGGTATCTGCAGAGAGTTCACATTATTGTGTGATGACAAATTCCATTTTGTGGTTGACTCGGCCCATCATCTGTTTGGATTCGATTTAAAAAAAGTACCACTTTGTTATAAATTAGAACAACACACAGTGGCTGTCCGATGGAAAGACTCATCCCAACCATGAGAGTGTAGAATGTCGAACACAGGTTAGAGACCTTCAATGTAGATGAGTATGAACGATACTCATTGGGCATGGGTTGGGGTGTGTTCTTTAATATTCCAAACGGCAATAAATAATTCTGGGGAAACCATCACGCCAGTTGAAATCTTGTTGAAGTTTATTTGCTTTGTTTACGATTGTGCGCGTCACTGCCACGACTTTGACGGCACGACGGTTGAGTTGCAGCTGCCATGGCTCGCCAGCACGCACGCACATGTGTGATCTTGGCCACATGCGCCACGAACCCAACGTCGCGCCCACCAGCTCGCACACATTCATACTGTGGGAATGTTCCCCTAAGCCGCCCACTGAACCATTTGGCTGGCATATTCTTGGTGCGCTTTGCTTGGGCAGGCAGGGAGGGGGGTGGTGTGTACACAGCAGTACCCTCCGCCCACCATACAGGCCTTCCCCTCCCATTTCCTCTCCTCCTCTTGGTCTTTGTGTTTTTTAAACAAGAGTGAAGGCAGCGTCACTGCCCCCACAGGCGGAATGCCTTTAAAAGGCCTGCTGTATCGGCGAATACCAGGAAGTCAGGCAGTTGCGTTTTGCATTGGAGACCGGTGATTTCCTTATCTTTCATAACTACGTTATGATACAGTTTGACTATATAGAATATAAGTGTAACTGCATCTCCAGACATGGTCGCAGAATAGAGGGGCCCACACTAAGGAATTTGGTTTTGGGGCGGATTTGAGGAGGTGTGATGGGAAATGCAAATACTCAAAGGCAGTTGGAAAAGAGGGAGACCTTGTGCCTACACTGATAGGGTCTCCATTGTAAAATATATTTGTTTCTCAATAGGCTGTTACCTGCTTATATCCTAAATAACATTTATATATGGGTTTCAAGAGGGAGTTGACAAAGATCCAGATGGCTGAGGTGACAGAGGAGAAAGAGCAACCACCCACTGGGCACAATCTGACTGGGGGGTTTTGCAAAGAGGCCTTGGTTGCTTGGGCAAAGTGTAGAAGTGAGGGAGTAGGGAGCGATGAGGTGGGGAGGGGGGAACACACGAGCAAGACCATGGTAGGATCTTAATAAAAAGATAGGTGGCAACAATCTTATAATTGAGGCTAGACGCAAAGGGAAGAAAGTGGATCGATTTGAGGATTGGGCTGCTGTAGACTTCCCTGCAAGATGCTTGAAGATCAGGATTGTGTGTAGGCTACAATACAATGTGTGCATGTACGGCCGTGTGTATGTGTAGGCCATCATGAACTCCATTTGATTGATACGTATGACCACAATCCCTAATGCTACGACCCTTCTGGCAATTTCCATGGTTGAATATTCCTTGAATGTTGCGGAAATGAGCTCCGGCGGAAGGAATAAAAACCTGCCAGCTTAGCCGTGGCTCTCGAGTCGAGAGCAAATGGTCTTTACTGAATTGCATGGACATTATCACATTCCAAGATATTGATTCCATCTTTGAAAATTTCATTCATAATTTTGACGCAGCTCAGACACCAATGCTTTCCGGTCTCATTTAATACACGTAGATATCTACTTTTCCATTTATTCTGAACCCAGCCTAAAAAAAGAGTTATTTAGATCAAATTGCATGTGCTTATCCTTGATCCATTTGGCTTGTCCTCAATCTCCACTGTATTCAAATATATGTTATAGTCAAATTTACACGTTTCTTTTATGAACCATTTATTTCAGTGTTATTTGAAGTATGATTTTGAAATCGAGTTTAAAAGGCAAAATAGCTCCGAGGAATGCCTCTCCCTGGATGATTCTATGAGTAGGGGGGGGGGGGTTGGTTTGACACAGTATTTAACGCAACCATGGTCAACATCAGTAGCCAATGATATCTCTACCGGTCCTTGATTTTCCCCCCCAAAACCCTTCACCAATCTGCACCAACCAGCAATGTGTAGTACGGTTAAACAACCAGCACGGTGTAGTATGGTTAAACAAACCTCCAACAAATGGCATAACAGGGTTTACATCCGCTCGTGGATTGACAAAGACAGTGCATTATTTTGTATTATTAGTGTGGTCCTGAAAACCTGGTGCCTGCTTTTTTCATGACACACGCATAGCGTGTTTTCCTCGTTGCTGCTTCTGCCCTTTTCTCCCTCGCTCTGGTTGGTACGCTTTTAAAGTGTGGCCCCCCTTTGACACACTTAGGGCCACTGTGCCCAAGAGAGGTAGGCAACAACTATTCCGGGATATCGGTGGCATTTTTAGTTTGGTCGAAGCCACAGTTTTATGCTCTTGTTTACCATTTTCAGGATTTTCAGCTCTGCCACCACATGCCAAGTTTGAGGCCGCTCCAAGAGATGCTTCATGATGAATTGGGTTAAATTGGCAGGGCTTCCTTGATGTGATTATTCTCAATCCTGAATTGACCGTGGGGTGGGAGGTGGATTATTTACATTCCATTGTTTCTATATAATGCGCGATTCGCAGTGCACTGAAATCTGCTGGAAAATTTCAGGAAAAGCCTGGGCACGTCTCTACAAGACGTGGCACGCGTGTGCACTCGCTCACACCGTTATTATGATGATGATGCTGGAGACGATTGGCACACAGGGCAGTTTGCAGTGTATTCAGAAACATATGTTTGTGTTTAAACATGTTTAACCATATCCACTACTTGCCTTTTGTGTGTAGCTCGTTGCGCACACGATGTCAAAATTTAGTTATCGTGGTGAATCCATTAAAGTACCTGAGGTAGATAAACAATGTTACCCCATGTTTTGCTGGTAAGATTGTTTTCATCACAACAAGACACGTTTTGATAGTGGACGTTGCATTTTCAATTGGACGTGTTTGTGCCGTGCTCAAAAGGTGCCTGCACACGTAACTTGAATCTAATGCCTTGCCTGCGAGTCTTGAAGGCTGTGCCTGGAACGTTTATGAGCCAAACATTGGTCGGTGTTTTTTTATATTTGCAAATGAGCATCTTCCAAAGTGATGTTCTGCAAAAATACGCCAAGGTATAGGAAGTATTTCAAGAGATTTGTTTTATATTTGGTCACCAGCATATCCACCTGTTTTTTTTACTTCAGCTACTTGATAATTTCCTCCACATTGGCGCCTACCCTTAAAAGAGGGCATGCATCTTTTCAGACAGGAATTCGACTTTAAATCCCACAAACAACAGCAGTGTTGCCTCCCGTTGAAGGATAATGGGGGATTTGCGTTCGGGAACACCAGCAGTGAAGGCTTGCACGAGTGCGCCACAGTTTTAAGAATCCTAATTAAAGTCGATGGCTCTCACTGCAGAAGCTGGACTGCATGTGCTTTTGTCTCGCATGAATTGAACCCCCTCCCACATGCTTGCACGACGCCTGTTTTTATTTATTTTATAGCAACCGCTTGCTTCTACTCTGGTTTTGGGATTATTGCCAACGGTTAATGAACCGTAGGCCAGATTGCAGGTCACCAAGGAATAATATATAAAGAGGCTATACTGGTCTATGGGCATCTTGAACAACCAAAGGGTTAATGGTAAGGGGAACTGAGGGCAGAGCCGATAATAAGACACACAGTGTATTGGCCTACTGCGCTGAAATTAAAGGAAATGTGTTCATTAGTAGCATTGATGTGAGGACAAGGAGAGGTTTAGGAGCTGTGGGTTGTGCAGAAGTGTTTTTAATCGTTTGTCAACTAAATGTAAGGAATGCAAGACAGCTAACCCTCGCAAATGGAATAGATTATATTTATGAGCATGTCTGTATAACATGACTGATGTAAAGGCGAGCGCAATATGGTCCTGTTGCAGTGTTACTGAGGTTAATTTAGAGGCGCAAGCATTGGAATCCCTGGGCACGTTCCATCGTCCACCTTTGCCAGTGTCCATCAAAGTAGTGAGAACGAGCACTTGCGTATTTTCCCACTCTTCGGATCGCCGTCGGAAGTCGTCGGCTAAATTCCCACTTAGCCTGCGGCGCGGTGACCTCTGTGTGCATGGCACAGCTTCGTCTTTTGTACAGTGCACGTGTACCGCTGCTGGTACGTTTTGTGCAGAGATGAGTCTGTCGGCGTGCCGCATTTTAACGAGTGAGAGGCGAGCGCGTTGAGTGATTGCAGAGCCGTGCCACAAACCCGTGACCTGCTTCTTCTCTCTCTCTCTCCCCCCCCGTCTGCCCCAGGCTGGCAACACCAATGATGGCAACTGCGTGGAGGAGATTCTGAGGGTGGGTGAAGCTACACTCACTGTCAGTAACCCTAGCGTCTGGCGCACCAGGTCTTGTTCTTGTGCAAAAACACAAGCGGAGGCAACGGCGAAGCAAAATAAAATGAACGCTGTAAAATCCCGAGTGGCCCCAAGGCGCGCTGGTTGCCACATGGTTGGGGGTGGGGTGATGCAGCTGTTAGCGGTGAAATAGATGCAAGTGCCCACCCTTTAAGTTGCAGTAAAACACAATTCCATGACGTCACTTCTTTAGTGGGAGGCTATGTGCACAGTGCCCTCTTTAGGACAGTATGAAGATCACATGACAGTGCTAAGCCCATTGGCTCGGGAATGTAAGACATGTTGTGTGTGTTTTTTTTCACAGGAAATGGCCTATCCCTGGCCCTCCCCTCTGACAGCTATACAGACCCCAGTCACCGCAAAACCATCCAAGTTCCCTTTTCCTGGAAAGGCGCGTGAACGCACCACACACACACTTGGGCTGCCGAAGCCACTTGTTGATGGAAATACGGGCACGCACTGTCTCGCGCAAAGCACATCTACGTAGATTTCCACAAGGAAGGTTTTGACCTTTATGCTTGCATTGAACACAGCCGGTACAAGCACATGTCTAAATAATTCAGCGGAAAATTCGTTTTTTTTTCTGAGCCTTAAATAAAGTACCTTTTAAATTATGCATTGGAAAATTAACAGCAGTGGACTTTGTATTGTAGCTATTGGTATGGTGTGTCATGATTGAAGGTAGGCTTTCAATCTAATCAAGTGAACATTTGTTTTAATTGCTTGATGAATTGTGTCTGTGCCTTTAATATGATGTAATTTTATTCATCAACGTTATATTCATGCTTTACAGGACTCCCAGCATGTGAACACGTCATTTCCAGGAACAAGTAAGTTTTAAGTGGTCCTTTTTTGTGTGTTTTTGCTTGTGTACTGTAGTTTATATCCAGAAAGGTCGTAAAAAGTGTAGGTGCATACCACCTTGTTGGCGCCACCTGCATAAATGTGCCCCACGCAGGTGTATCGTGCTCGTGTGAGACTTGAAAGCGAACCGTGTGCGTTGTAAAAGCGCACTGATAACGCGTCTGCCATCCGTTTAGAAATCACGCGTGCCAGCAAAGATTTGTTTTTTTTTTTTAAACCTCTTAATGGACTTTGGCTTTTGCCAATGTCAATAGCAATTTATAAAGTTTTTAACAGCTCTCTCTGCGCAAAGAGACTGTGGATTGTACAATGCGATGAATGCGATGTCCTGCCTCCGTACGATTGTCTGCGTTAATCGCAGACCTTGGTAGAAAAGCGTCGCCTATCGCGCTTTGCTCACGGTGACCATTACACGTTGGCTGGTGTGGGAGCGTTAGCCATGACAGCTAGTAACAGTGAAGGCTGAACCTTGACTGCTTTAAACCCGTGGATACTGCCTTCGACCGCATTGGATGAAGCTCCCGTAGTGACCTGAACTTTGTCCTTTTCTACCTCACCCTTGTCAGAGCGCGGTGATGCCTCTTCAAAGAGCGCCACAAACACCTTGGCGGATAATTCGTAAGTATTTACTTTTGTTACGTTTTTGTGTGTGTTTAAAACGACTCTGGTATGACATGTCAGCAACAAGGCCGACACCTCTTATTCAGCAGCTGTTTGATACAGGTTTTACATAAATTAAGGCGTTAACATGTGTACGTGCCAAAGGGCTCTTGAACGTTATTGGCAGCAGTGTAAGATCACAATCTCCGTTTCTGATTTGATACAATCGGAAGATGCTTGTGCTGCACAGCAGGACTGTTTCAATGTCAATGCTTTACGTTCCGCAGAAGAACGCATAACGATTAACGAGATGAGAATATTGATTATTTACTGCGTTAATCGCGCTATGTTCTTGCGTCTCGGTGAGGTTACGCGAGGGTGATAGCGCCAGGGGTTTGTAGCAAAGGAGTTCACTGTTAAGTGCAGTCTTTGCATCGTTGTTTTGTGCATCTGTGAATACTTCAGCAGGAAAGGTAAATATTTAGACCCTGTAAATGCTACATTAGAATTTCGCAAAAGTAGTTTCCTAAAATCTGAATGTCTTGCCATCGCGAATAGAGGATGACAATTTCCTAAAATCACAACAAATGCCCGGGATAGACTAGTAAACACAACAGAAAGTTACTGAAGGTTGCAAAAAGCATGGGGAGGCATTGTGAAGGATGGGAAAGAATTGAGAGGTCTTAGAATACCTACGAAAGACTAGAGAGACACTTGTGGGCTATGGAAGGCTGGAATGGTTACAACAGGCTATATAAATCTGGGAAAATGATGGGCCATTCGAGTGGTTGAGGAATGGAAAATGTTGTGCTAAGTGATTATAATGGGGGGCAGTATGCATTTGCTCAAGCATTGCTGGGAAGTGCTGGGAACGGCTGTGAGAAGGCTAGGGTCCTTCAAACAATTCCAACCTCACTTCCACGCAAAGCAAAGCAATTGGGAAAACTGCAAGTTCCATGACCTTCACAACCTCACTCACCACGTGTATCCACAATGCTTTGTCGTCTAGGATGCTGGAAGATGACCTGAAATTGAGCAGTGACGAGAGCGATGTTGAACTGGTAAACTACGCATTGAGATCTCCGTTTTAATTGTTTGTGGTTCTTTCTAGATGACATTAATTAGAATCTGCTGTTACAATCACACCGTTTTGCCATGTAATAATTCATAGCTTAACACACTTACTCCATGTCGGTAATGTGTACTGTCTGCTGTGCATCACAGTTAAAAGTGACTGAGAATATGAATAATAATTATTAGGTTAATTATAAATTGCTTGTATTGCAATGAATCCATTTACATACATTAACAATTTACATTTTAACCAGCGTCGGCTCCAGACTTCGGTTATATGGGAATAGAGTGATCTATGGCATGTCTTTAAAATCCCTGCACCACGTGTGGCCAATAAAGGTAAGTGATGACGGGTCTTGTACCTGTGCATTCAATTACATCTGTTAGCCCCCTGGGCAAGGCATTTAAAAAAACCTGTAGTGGATCACACTCTTGCTGGCAGTCAAGTCTTAAGGCTGGGGCTGCTAGTGTCTCATTGGAGCCAATTAAGCAAATGATGCAGTAGTGTGTTATTTTCCATGCAACGAGACTGTCCTGTCATGCCTCATGAATGCACGTAATGTGTTTCCCCAGTTTGCGGATAAGTCTGTCCTGAACAAGGCCATAATTCCTGTCAGGTATGTACACTCAGAATAAAATGTCATGGTTTTCTATAAGTGATGACACACTTCCCTCTCGTCCACCACTTTGAAAGCATTGATGTTGCATCACATGGATATGTGAATCAAAAAACCTGCTCTGGGCCTCCGAGGTGGCGGCTAAATTACAGGACAGCAAATACATTCTTGAACCTGTCCGTACGGACCTTTTTAAAAGCGTTATTCCCTCGTTCATGGGTTTTCATTGGGTAATCTGGTGATTCCTATATGCAATCAAACTCCTTACAAGTGAAACGGCCAAACATCCCAATGCAGAACACTCCTTAAAACATATCGTGACTCTTCCCTGAATTAATAATCGGCAGTATGATATTTTTTTAACCATTGTATTTTACTGTACCACCATTAATAATTAATATCCCTAACATTTAATTTGAATAATGTTATACAGATGAGAATTACCATTTCATAACTCGAGAATTTCATCATCGCAATAGCCCCAGAAGATGATGCCAATAGATATTATTTCCCAGCCGCTTAATTGTATAGCTCAGGCCAAACAGTAGGCGGTGAACCATAATGCTTCGTACATAAAACAGTGTTTTTATACTACGAAGGCAGTGGTGCATAAGCACAAATAACAACAGAACTCATCACATTTGTCAACTAGCTTGTTAGCCTGTCCTCGGACGGAAGCTGTAATATTTAACACGGCCATAAAAATAAAATATATATAATAGGTGACGTTTCTGGCAATGTCCCTTCCCAACACAATGAGACACCAGAGAAGTCGAGTATTATTGATGCGTACAGTTTTTTTTTTACACGATAGTCATGCTTTGTATAGCATTTATTTGCCACTGGTGGGTTAGAAAACTTAATTCTCATGGCTGGTGCAGACCAAATAATGTGGAAAATCTAATTTACAACAGGTGCCTGCGTTTGTGTACAGCCTATAGTAACTAGGCTGAGACGCAACCAGATTGTTTCTTCTCCTGGTGTCCTGCCACCACGGTCATTTGTTTTTTTATTATCAGGCACGTGATGGCATAGTCGTGTGTTCAGCCGGATCGCAGGTTCAAAGAATCTGGCCGTGACGTGACTTGAACACTCGTGACACAGCCCCCAGCGCGATGACCTTGATCTGGTTTAATCATCATTGGCTTTTCAGATTCAAACTCGGCATCTCATTAATGTGTTGGCTTGGTGTTCTGCCACATATTCGTCCCTGGATAGAGATGGGTTTTTGAATCGATCTGTGCTGAGCTTTACCCTGTTGCATTTGTGAAAGTTATCCAAGTTCTTTTTGGTTTCTCACACATGCCATATACTCTACTCATGAAATTGGTCAAAGAGCCCAATTCAGAGATGTATCTCTATCCTAATGTTAGGTTTCACGATGTTAAATGCCTTGATTGTGTTTTTATATACATGGGGTGGAGGATGGTACTGCAGCGTAGTAATTAGCCGCAGCTAATGTAGTAGCAAATATCTGAACTGGTCATGGGTCTCCTTTAATTTAACGCCGTCTTAAATGAGTACCTGGTGCAGTGTATAAACATCAGCACTGGGGAGACCACCACCTCGTGTACTGTTCCAGCCTGAATAGATACTGGCTCTCACTGCCACTTGCCCCAACAACCTCTCTAGGCTATGCAGGAGCTGTTGGTCTGTATACATCGATATAAATATACACAGGATGTGAAATAAAAAAAAACTGTTGCTTTTTTTTTGCGGTCACTGAAGAAGGTCAGTCTGCTGAAAGTCTTATTTTTAACGTACCCGTTAATCTGTTCACATTTGTGTAATTTCACCGAACTAGCAGCTTTAAGACGTGTAGTTATTTGTTCATCTCATTGTCGGTGTTTCTCCTGTGTGTCCTCTGCGTGTGGTGTGTGCAGCGTGCCGGTGGCAGAGAGCGGGGATGCCCCTCGCTCCAGCGCTGAGTCGGGCTCCTCCAGCGAGTCGGAGAGCAGTTCTGAGTCGGACTCGGAGAGCGAGACGAGCTCCAGCGACAGCGAGGCCCAAAGCCAGTCCGTCAATGCCGCCTCTCCCCAGGTGAGCCGCTCACTCGTCTGCATTAGCCATGGGTCCAGCCCGGTTATTACTTGAAGGGGAGACTGCTTTGTAAATTCCAGGTGTTGTAGGTTTGTACTGCAAACATGGCCAGGAGGAAGCATTACAACGATGGGTTATTGAATCGATCTGTGCTGAGATTTGAGCTTTACCCTGTTGCATTTGTGAGATTTATCCAGGTTCTTTTTGGCTTCTCATACATGCCAAATACTCATGACATTGGTCAAAGAGCCCAATTCAGGACCCTTCTGAAAAGTTTTAATGCTCAGTGAGGCTTTCTTGAGTAAGTACATTATTATTGTTGTTGTGGGAGCTGTGCCTCAGAGGTTAGTGGACTCCACGATTAACCTCTCCACCCGAGTTTGATTCTTGGCCAAAACGAACATGAGTGGTGAGTGATATCTGAATCGGTCTTGGATCCCCATCCACCGTCACCAACATGCAGTGACAATCCTAGAAAAGTATGGTCAAACAACCCCCATGACTGAAAATACATGGAGGCCTTCATCTAACTGTGGATTGACAAAGGGCTACAAGTTATGCTTTTAAAAATGTATTATTGTGTGCCCGTGTGGCTGAGTGCTATTGGTCGCTTGTGGTCAGTCAGTGTCTTCAAAGGTAGGGCCCTAGCATCTTGCTGTGTATCAACGGCTAAAGCCATTCAACAAGGCCTGAACACATGACCCCATAGCATTATACACTTGCACATCCCCCAGTAAGCAGTGAATCCACAATAAGTTCAGCCACAATGTGCCCATCAATCTATTTAGGACAGTGCATTCCTACTCGGTCAATAACTGATACAGTTGTGTGTATTTACCGTATTTTGCTCTTTCCTTATCACATACTTTGGAGACTTGAGTACATAGAGTCAATGCTGCCCTGCTCAAATGGGCATGGGGATAACACTGTCCTGAGCCAGTGGTGCAGGCTAGCCTTTGCACATGACAACTGAACGGGACACTATATACAGAATAGGAATCTTGCACTGCATTGGGTTGTCTTAATTAAAGTTTAACTTTTAATTGTAATATCTGTATTGTCAAGGATCCCCCATTTTTAATGTGGACATATAAACGTATTCATGTTGAATTGCCAGGGAAATGTTCTCGGAGCCTCAAGGTAGTTTTTAAAGCTGACACCGATTGGGTTGTTTGGCTAGTTCTTATATTTGAGGTTATTTCTGGGTGGGATGAAACTGAAGTGCTGGGAGAATACCCACACATGTTAGGGGATAACACTCTTAACTCCCACACAGATGGGATGACATTCTCACTTTATGAATAACGTGATGTAGGCTATGCTTCCAAGTTCACCTGCGCATCGCTATTTGCTCACTTTGCGTGCATTTCTTTACGCTTGCAGCCCGAGCCACCGCCCACCAACAAGTGGAAGCTGGATAACTGGCTGCCCAAGGTGAACCTGAACACCAACAAGTCGACAACTCCGCAGGCTGACACGGGAAACGCAAAGGTGCAAGGGCACGAGTACCCGCGCGGCGGTGATAGTGGCGGTAGCGCTGGCGGCAGCGGTGTTGGTGGAGGTGGCGGCGGCGGCGGCGGCGGCGGTGGTGGTGGAAGCGGCGGGGCCCAGGACAAGGAACGGCCGAGTGCCGCCGCCAATCAGGCCGAGGCCAAGGAGAAGCTGCGGAGCCCCGCGCGAGAGCGGGGCAAGGGTCGTAGCGGGCAGCGGCATGCGGACAGCAAGAGCGGCGGTGGGCGGCAGAAGTCGCCGGCGCAGCCAGACGTTTCGTCTCAGCGTCGCAGCATCGGCCGCAAGCAACCCAAAAAGCTGGAGAAGCCGGCGCCGAGCCCCGAAGAGCCGGACTATGGGTACGAGCCCCCGAAGGAATCGCCCACGGTGGTGGAGAGTAGTGGCGGCGGTGGAGGCAGCAACGTGGCTGCAGTGCGGCGTAGCGTCGGCAGGAAGCAGCCCAAGCGGACCGAGAAGCCGTTGAGCCCAGAGGATCCTGACTGGACCAAGCCGGAGTACGCGTTTGGTGTCCACAAGTCACCGGCCCAACCTGAAGTCTCAGTGCAGCAGCAGCAGCAGCCACAACGCAGGAGTGTTGGCCGCAAGCAGCCACGCAGGATAGAGAAGCCAGCTAGCCCTGATGTGGAAAACTGTCCCAAGTCAGAGTTCACAGTAGCACAAGAGAGTTCACAGACGCACAAGGCAGGTACGGGCGCTCTGTCGGGCACCAACCACGAGCAGCCAAAGAGCAAGCCCAAAGGCGGCACCGGCCGGAAGCCTGCCGTGAAGAAGGAGACGCAGCCGGCACCACAGTGCACGGCCGAGGCCAAGAAGCAGCGTGTGCCAGGCAAGTCGATGCGCAAGGGCCGCGAGAAGGTGTACTCGGACACCTCCTCATCCTCATCGTCACCTTCGTCCGACTCTGAATCGGAGCCGGACGAGAGCCCGGCGGGCAAAGCGGACTCGCCGGCCCCGTCCGGCGCCGCCAAGTCGTCCGGCTCGGACGCGCCCTGCGACTCGCCGCAGCACTCCGACGAGGGCGCTCCCGGCTCGGCGCCGCCCGCGCCGCCCGCGCCGCAGCCGCAGCAGCTGAACCGCAAGGAGCAAATACTGTCGCCGCTGCACGTGGCGGGCGGTGAGCTGCTGTCGCCCATCCACGACTACGACGAGGTGCGATCGCTCGTGGTGAAGATCGACCTGAGCCTTCTTGCCCGCGTGCCGGGCCGCGGCGAGACTCGGGGCGGCGGAGGCCAGGGACAGCAGCAGCAGCAGCAGCAGCCACCGTCGGTGTCCGAGAGGGCGGGCTCTCACCGGCAGCAGAGCACATCCAGAGAAAGATCACCACCGCCTCCAACCACAGCGTTAGGAGAGAAATCCAAACGCAAGCGGCAGGTAAGCGGAGCGCACGTGGGCACAATCGGCACAAACAGCGAAGACGATGGTGCGTGGCCCGGGAAGCTGGTGAATCTGGCCATGTCACAGCTGTCGCAATAACTAAGCGTGGCAATATGATGGGTTTACCAGAGTGCCATTTGGTTTGCTGACCAATGCAGCAAAGTAATATTGTAGTTGTAAATGGGCTGTTCCATAATTACTATGTACATGCTCGTCGTGCAGCCTGTACTTTTTAGAGCAGTGCGGATTTCATTGTCATTCACCTTCATATGTAAATAAATAGACGCACGCCGTATTCATTATAATGCTCCGTAACCTACTGTGCTAATTATTGACAATTATTACGTTTAATGTAATGTTAAACCAATAATTGCAATGATGCGTAATATTGTCAACATAAAACCTGGTGCCTTTTGCATTGCCTTGGTTTGTACGCTAAACATTTGGCTGCTGGGTTAAAAATTAACAAATGAATTAAACATGAGTTCGATGTTCCATTACATGGGTGCGCATGTACCTAAATCCTCCAGCCCGTGATGTTAATTGATTAACTCGCCTGTTGGTTGTTAAAGACCCCTGGCCATGTTTGTCAGTGCAATTAAGGGGCCACGCTTGCATTAAAATTTCCAGCGGACAGATCCGGCGTTTTGTCTCGGCCCGCAGCCGTGCACTGCCGGTGTACGCAATTTCCCATAAGTGTGTACAATGAATGTGGGGTGCTGGAGATAAATTATGAAAAAAAAATACGTAGGCACCATGAACATGAACTCATTGCATAGACGCATTATCTGCGTTATCAATCTTGGTCGACAAACGGAGCTTACCCGACGCTTTCACTTGCACCGTCGATGCGGGGTCACAAGCAAGGCGCCACTGCACCCGAGCATTCAGATGAGACAAGTCCAGGACTTCCACGTGCGCCAACACTGCATGTGCGGTCGTGCCCGTGCTCATTGTGGGCGATTGTCGTGGATTTCTGCTCGGATCTCGTGGGAAGAATCGAGTCATTTCTTTCATTTGTTGGCCACCGCTTTACTTTGGACTTTTGCAAGGGTGCACTTCAAATGTCTCTTCACAAAATAAATAAGCAGATAATACACCTCCCGCACAATCGGTCCCTCCAAAGTATTTTTTTTACAATGACTGTCAGCCACATGGGCTTTTGGGGGTGCGTAATTTCAGCAATTTTAATTCAATACTAGCAGTTACAACTCTGTCTCATCAGCAGCCATGCTTGGTTGACACCTGGCTCACTTTAATATTACCAATGCATGTGCACAATTGTGCCAAGGAAATGTTTGAAAAGCTCAGGAGTGGTACAAGCCTGTGAGTATTGTTTATGTTAGTGGCTGCTTCCACATGGAAATAAATGATTCACAACATCCACTCTCCTCCCCCACGGTGATATGGCGAATTTAATTGATTCTTTTTTACAACACATTTTTTTATCATGGCAGTGAACAGCAGCGCCATGAGTGACACGAACTCGTTACATGTATACACATTAAAAACATTTATTCACATTCGATCTCTACTTTCTGTGTTATACATCTCTACTTTCCGTGTTATTTTTCACGACTGTGGTCTAGAGAACAAGACACACAGGCGCACACACAAACAAAGAGTACTGCTTGGGTTATTGCCGGCAAACACTACACCTCGGTGCAAAGGAATTGGATGCGGCAGTGGTGAGTGTGAGCGGGCGGTGTAGATGCAGTGAGCGCTGTCGGCCAGTGAGGAATGTGAGCTCTGTGGCCACTTGTGGTTGACCCTCGGGAGACATGGCCGACCAGTGTGTGCCAACATTCCTGCACCCAGCCCCTCCCAATGTGGCGCAACCTTCTGCCCAACTCATTGGCTGTGGCGTTTATTTATATTTGCCATGTCAACTCCGATAGGTTCCTATTGCCGGGAAGGAGCATTGATCTGAAAAGAGTGAACGAATTAGGAGTTTGTGTTGTGATGTAAAAAAAAAAAATCCCCCCCCCTAATTTGCAAACGCATTGCACATTTAATGCAGCTGGGCTTAGGGAGAGTTGTGTACAAGCGAGGGGACAGAATTCTTGCTTATTTAAAATTACTGCTGTGGAAACCAACAGCACGTGACTTACTAATGAATACCAAATAAGCAGTATTTTTTTTCGTGGGCAAATGTACCGTTCAGCAATCACACTTTCGTTATCCTTCATGGGTGTATAGAACTTCCACGAGATGACACACTATGCAGTGGACTGCGTGAAATGTGAGCCACTCGGTGTGCTATTTATAAAATGCTAAAAAGACACCCAGAGGTAGCCCGTCACTCTCGCCCTACTGTCAGTTTGAAATGAAAATGGAGTGCGAAATAAATAGAACACTCTGTCCAAACTTTGTATCATGACTGTAATCCTGTACAGTATTGCAGCAATGCATATCTGTTTTGTAGCGATGTACAGATAGTGCTTTTATCTAAGCCGGCGATGATAAAAGTGTGCCATGTTGTTCACCAAGGGCATGTGGTGAAGTGCTCTCAGTGGTGTTAGGGAGATTCTGGTAAGAATGCCTCTGTGGTTTAGTTGAGGGGTCGGAAGCCAACGGCTCCGGAGCCGCATGCAGCGCTTTAAGGAACTGCTTTGTGACCTTATTTAAGGGCCGTCATATATTCACATGCATTGCGGCTCTTGAAATGTTGAGTTTTACCTAATTCGATTAAAAAAAAAATGGCTCTTGTTATTGTTGACGACCCCTGGTTGAGTTAGACTGAGCTTGTGCTGTTTGGCAAGGGTATGCGGTAAATGCGTGCAATGTGGGGTTTGGTAAGCGTTTGTGGTAAGGAGTGCTCATATTTTTGTTCGGTAACAATGTGTTTCCCAGTGGTTTGGTAAGGGTCCGGCTGGTAAGGGTTTACCCGTGTGATTCACCAGGGCGACAGCGAGGACATTCACAGCGAGAGGAAGAGGGGAAAGGTGGAGAAGGACGCAACGCCACACTGTGCACACAAGGCGGCCGCAACCAAAGAGTGAGTTGTAGCAGCTGCTGTGCGGGGCATGGGACAGTCACTGCACGGCTTTCCCATCGCACATCCCCCTTGCACTCCCCCCCCCCCCCCCCCGGTAATGCTCAGCAGCACCTGCAGCTGTCCTCTTTAGAGGTTTGCAGAGGTGCAAGAAAGGGGAGGTGAGAGATGGCCTTGTAAAAAAATTTAATGCAGAATCCTTCTTTAAAAGTAATTAAAACCTTTTTTTTTTCATTTAACGGACTTTAAAATTTCTGGTAAAACAACATTGTTTTGTTTGCAGTAATCGGAGGTAAAAATTGAAGTGAAGATTGATAACTTATTTATTAATTAAAGCCTCGTTGAGACTTTGAGGACTGAGATGGTTGCAGATTAATTTGTTTCGCATGTCGAATTAAACTGGGTAAACCATCGAAAAAAAGTTTACACTCAAATCTATACAAATAAGTCATGGTCATATTTACTGTACTGCGATTCACTGGCCCTCTTGGCCCTATTGAGAGTTTTGTGTACACAAGTTGTATTTGCTTTAAGTAAAAAGATAGCATTGGACATGAGTCAGCAGTCAGTGGTGTATTATTTGTTCACAAGTGTAGAGAGCAGCATCTTATGGGCTGTTGAAGAATTGCAGAGTGATTTTGCCAACAAACCACCACCTAGTTTTCTGAACACTACGTAAAATAATTTATTTTATTTAACTTCTGAATTTAGCGTACGCCACAGCACTCTCTCTGTTGGCAGCACGCTCATTCCTCGCGAGTGACAGCCCCTTAACATCATAGTGTTCCGCTGTGACTGACGGGCAGCAGAGCCTTGCGTGGTCGAACCGACATTACCCAGTGACCGCATCGCACCCCTCCCTCCCTCCTAACTTCTCGCCCTTTGCCTCTCTGTCGCTCTCACTTGCACTCGCAGCGATCGCAAAAAGATCAAGGTCAAGACAGAGACCCCATCTCATTCCAGCTACAAGCCCCCTGTCAACAAGGAGTAAGTCGAACGTGCAAACACACGGTGCACTCAACGGGGCTCCCAAGAGCAAGTCCGCAGCTGCTGCTGCTGCTGCTGCTACCGCGTAGCCCGGGTCGCGTAGAGGCGGGCGCCAGGCTAAAGCTGCTGGCGAGTCCCGCCAGAGACTCTGCAAATACGACGAAGCTGAAGGAAGGGTCGGCCCGGTGCGCGCTCGGCTCGTCCGCCGACAAGACGGCGGAAGGCTTCGTCGTGCCAGCGGACTAACTAAACTGCTTTTTCTGTTTAGTTTGGCTACGTGTACGGTTCGAAAGAAGTTCAACATATACACACTGGTTGGGTTACTGTTATTCGCCCCCACACACCCCCCCCCCTCCACAGACGCGTCACTGCGTAGTAAAAAAAAAAGAAATGCCGCAATTTATTTTATTATATAGGTGGCGTTTGACCACATGGCTTGATAATAAATGCCATTGGGAGTCTGTGCCGATTTCTGCCGTTTGGTTTTGCCGAGTGCGCTTCTGAAAGTTGATATATACGTGTTGTGTTTTACACAAATGTTAAAATAGCGATTTACTTAGATTTACTGTATGTACTTATCACTGTCTATTAAACTACCAAGTGATGCCTTGCAGCAGTTTTCACTTATTGATCAGCCTAAATGGAGAGAGTGTGTGTGTTTGGCAAGTATTCAGAGGAAAATGGGGAACGTAATAATTGTTAGTTATTTACTGATATAAAATTCAGTCGAACATTACCCACAACACCGCAATGCCAGCAAGAGCATCCTTTGAAGATGCTGTCATAAGAGGTAACATGACTGGTGCGACTGTTCTTTTCTGACTATTTCGTCATGGTTTATGCGGTTGTCGCCAACTAAAAATGCCATTTTTATATGCGTTATATACGCTCTAGCAACATTTTTCTAAAATGTATTACCATTTTAAGTCTGGAACATTTGATTATGCCTCAATACAATGCATAACAAAAAAATCCAAACATAACCGGACACACGTAAAACAATAGCTAAAAAGAGTAATGATAATTGTTTTAAAGGAACATTTAAATATCCATATATATCAGCCTTATACAGACGCTATATAAAACCAAAATAAAATCAATCGTCATTTATTTTTTCCAAAATGTTCTTGGCAATTCGGGAAAAAAAATCTTCCTTAGTAGCTAATGCGTGAGTGCATCTGCATTTAGTATTTTCCAAAGTGTTAGAAACCTAACATACAAAGAGTATGTTAGGTTTCTGTTTGTGAAACCAGTAAACACCCTCACTTGTTCAGTGTACTGATTAGCTGAGCACTCAGGATTTATCCATCTAAACACTGCGCTGCTCATAAAAGTGAGTCGGGCAGAACCGGTTAACTGGGATTATGGTGATTTATTTTCACGAGTACCCTTAATGAAATCGGAAAGGTCTCCTCCATGCATGGCGTGGCTCCAAGGAGCATGTGTTAAACCAGAGCAAAGTGACACTTGCCACATGACATTAAACCCGAACTAGACGAATGGAGCCTTTAATCATGCCGGTTTGTCGTTCAGTCCCTGCCCGGCCACAGCGCCGTTACGTGGACGCTTGCGAGTGGCGTGCGTGAACACGTGCGTGACTGCGCTGCCGACCCGTTTGCCTGCCTTTGCGCGAGGCTGTGTCTCATGGTTCAGATGTCAAGCGGCTCAAAGGAGGAAGGAGCATGTTGGCATAGATCTCGTTGGATCACGTAAAACCATAAAAGCTGAACTTTAAGAGCGATGCACCTCAAAGCAAAGCATTCACAAAGGATCCTGCAAGCAGCCCCCAGGCAAAAATTGGCATAAATGGGCACTAAAATCATAGATTACTCGGATTATTTGTAATGTACATTCAGATTACCAATGCACCGTGTCTCCTGCAATTTACATACAAATTACCAATTTGAGGTGTGCAACATGGCAATTACAAATGCCATCTCACCTGGTGACATGTGCTCGCGTCCCTTCCATGCTACCCCCCCCCCCCCACTCCCGCCCAGGTCGGGCAAGCACACGGTGGATAATAAGAAGAAGGTCGCCCCGCCAGCGTCGCCGCTCTCCAAATCGACGGCTGCGTCTGAGCGCAAGCGGCGCAACAGCGAGAGCAGCACGTCGAGCCGCGTGTCGACCGTGAGTGAGGCCGGCAAGTCGAGCAAGAAAGGGAATCCAGCCGGAGGCGCCGCTGCCTCCCAGTCCTCGGGCAAACACCGCAAACTGGATGGCAAGACGGCAGGCAGCGCCAAAATGGCAAACCGGGTACGGCTCCGCACTGTGACTGAGCGTCGCGCGCCGCCATGCCTACAGATCGGACGGCGCTCACGGGTGACTAATTCCTCCTGCTGCTGTTGATTCTAAACTAAACTCATTTTATTTTTCCAGGTAAGGCCCACCGAGCTATATAGTGCGTTTTCAGAGGCGACCTAGCCACAAATGATAGCTCAACGAAGTGGCTTATCGTGTGGGAAGTTACAGCGCGCCAAATACTCTAAACGCACGTTTCTAAATGTGGAGGGAAAAACCGGAGGACCCGGAGAAAAATCCACGCAACCACGGGGTAACCATGCAAACTCCAAATATACAGGTGTCAGGGTTGGGATCTAACTCAGGACCTGTCTACCAGGCGAGGTAGTTACCATCTCGCCACTCCGGCTTTCATCATAATTTGGAAATACGAGTTGATGTCAAGAATCCTGTTGAATATAAAAAGTCAAATGACCCGTGTCTTGGAGAAAGTGGTGGGGTAGGTAGCCAACTGGCTTAGGAGGTTGGGATGGTATCACAAGAGCATTGAACCAGCACCGTTGAGACGTTGGGTACAAATTCAGGGCAACCGCACAGGATTAAACTGGGATCTCCATTGCAGAGAGTTGATTGTCTCAGCCCAATCACTCACAACTGCATAAACTGTCAATAAATGTGGTCTTTCATACAATTGGAATTATACATCACTGTGTGATTGGCATGTGATGAACTTTTCTTTGAAAGACACGTAAAGAGTGTCCTGATTATAGATAGATTCCTCTTGAAGTGATATCAGAATGTAGTTCTTTTGGAACTGATCTCTGACGCATGGTACCATGCTGTAAGACTTATATCAAAATCCCGTCACTTCGGTGCAAGGTGCACAAGTTATATATTGGTAGGTTGGGAAAAAGTGATGGGAATTTCTAACGTAATGAATGAGTCCATTCAAAGAAACACAAAGTAATGCTCATTTAACCATAATGCATTGACATCGCCTCGACAAGTGTAAACTGAAGGGTAGCGTGGGTTTTTTCTCACGATTCCTTGTTGAGACACTTGCCAACTCCCAAACATGATTGCGCCTCTCCCGTCGTCTGCTTGTTGTAGTCGCGCCAGGCTGCTGGACCTTCACGCCCATTGCTGTGTGTGTGTGTTTAGGAGGACAGTGTGGCGGACGACAGACAGGTGTCCGAGGCCCTCTTCACCAAGCCTGGTCTGTGCGCCGTCTCTCCCACCCTACTGAGGCCCCGCCTTGTGTTCGACGACAAGTGAGTGCGCGCTATTTCAGTGTGTGGGCGTGGCGTATTAAGCCTGGGTTGAGGGTGCCGATCCCACGCACAACCCAGATGTGTTTAGGAAACCTGAGTAGTGGCTCTTAGATGATGATAAATAGCCACAGTCAAGAGGTCCTATTTGCCAGTGCTGCTGATGCCATCACATCTTGCCATTGATTGCTTTCATCAAATCGGCAACTGTTGCACGGTTGACATCTGACCTCGGAGGTCTACTCTTAGACCTTGCAACCATCTGGCTTTAGGTATACGTACAAAACACAGTGCAGGACCCTGCTGAGAGAGTCCTGCGTATCATCGAGCCTTTCTTTGATAAATAAATTACATTATTATTATTATCCATTTCCCCTTTGGTTGGCAACCTCTGGTTTGCCCAAACTAATGTCTTCCGTTATATATCGGGGTCAGGAAAACAAATTTGCCAGGGACATGAGTTGGAATGCTCCTGATGTCGCATTCTATGCATCCTTGTCTTCAATGTCAGTACACGTTCCCCCTTTGTTTATTGGTTGCCCCGCTCTGTATTCCATGTGAACTGTCGTGTGCGCAGACCCCAGTCCGTGGATTTCCACATGCAAGAGGCCAAGAAGCTGAAACACATGGCAGATGGCATGGTAAGGCTGCGCCCACCACAGAAAGACCATTCTAGTAATGGTGTTGAACTGCAACTATTTGGCTATAATCACTGCCCTGAAGGATCAGTACTCAAAAATGTTATCTTGGTCAAAATAATATAAACATATATTGCACATATATTTGTAATATTGCCATTCATTTATGAGGGTTAATTATGATGGTAAGAAACTAGATTACTGTAATTACATCTTTGATTGATTTATCATTGTTAGGACCCATGTCCTTAGCGTTACTGCAATCATTTTAGCATTCCTCCTATACAGCATGTGCACAATTTTATACATTTACTATGACTGAAACTATATGCATACTTAAAAAAGTGGGCCTTTTTGTAAGCCAGTTTCAATGAACTTCCTCATCTAATATTCTTAGCTCTTTCGGTAAAGTCACGTTGAAGGGAAACAATAAAATAATAAAATATATATAAAACAATAAAAATTCTCACGACGTTTCGACTGCAACACAAGCAATCATCATCAGGTGTGAAAACCACAGCAAGAAAAATTGAAAAAAGTGGCGGTTTTTTAAAGTTTTCTTTTCTTAGCTCTTTCGGTAAAGTCACGTTGAAGGGAAACAATAAAATATATATATAAAACTACTGCAGTCACGAAAGCTTTAAATCAAAATTTCCTCATCTAACTTAAGCAACTACATTAGCAGAAGTGTAGTGTCAATTCAAAGGCTGCAAAGCCATCTCTGCCCTGTGGTTAGTAGCACTGTACACTGCCGTGTGATTTAATGTATAGTGTGCGGCAGCAGCCAGGAACCATGCATCTATACAGAAAATCATAGCAGACGCTCGCTCTGTACACCCATTTGCTTGGACACGCATCTCAGTCCACTTGACACGGGGTGCCTGAACGTTCCTCAACACGTGCACGGTGATCTTGGCGCACTCGGCTCGCAGTTTCGACAAGGGGCAGCGCTGATATCGTTCTGGTTCCTGGCCTTTTGCCGCACCCTTCCAGTAACGAGTTTATGTTTCTCTCGAAGGCCCTCCCTCAAAGCAATGTGTCCCTGCAGAGGTACAGGGCGATCCATTTATAGATGCCCTGCTAACTTCTCGTGACTCTTCTCAACACGTGATTTAAGTGTTGCGAAAGCGATGGCACCATATTTGACAGTGATGAAATATCTCGTAAGTGAATTAGAGATTGGTAGCTTGAGACGCGTGGAGGTGATGGAAATTATGTAGCTTTTTTTTTTAATTCTCTTCCACAATTTATTCACGTAATTTTAGTGGGTATCTATAACCTGGTGCCCTTGTGAATTTAAGGAAGTACAAATAAAACGAACGTGCCGTGTATTTGTCTGTATTGTATTGATTCTGATTCTAAATATTGTGTTGCTGCCACCACTCGCAGTCGGACAAGCTGGGAAAGGCGATCAACTACACGGACGCAGGCCTCTCCTTCATCGAGTGCGGCAATGCCATGGAGCAGAACCCTCTTGAAGCCAAGTCCCCGTACACCATGTACTCGGAGACCACCGACCTCGTCAAGTGAGTTTTTTTCCGCCATGCTGCCCCGGCTCTGGCCATCGACAGTAAGGACCACCGGCAGGCCACTGGGCGACCCGCAAGAAGCGCAGCCCTAACCCCCCCGTTAATAATAATTAACAATTATTTTGTAAGGCGCTTTCCACCGATGTCTCGAGGCCTCTTGAAGATTTACATCCAACGTTTGAGGTGGCCCGGTAGCTCAGTGGTCAGAGCACTCAGCTGGCACCGCTGAGTACCCAGCGATTTGGAATCCAGGCATTTGCCTGTGATTAAAGTGTAGTGAGTTGATGGTCTCAACCCAGTCATGAATGACTGCACAACAAAAAAAATATTTTTCGCATTTCACGTACGTTCTGCACTGAATGGATCCAAATTCCATCTCGGAGAATATTACATTTCAATTTGACTCCTGTGGTGAACGTTCATTTCATATGCAGCGCATGGGGAAAAGTTCTGCCCTCTACCGTGTGGACCAGCAGTAACTTGAAGGGGTCTCAGAGGTAGCTCCGTGATATCTACTTTCATCGGCTGTTCTCAAATTAACGTGAAGGGTTGCACTGATCTGCGAGAATTTCGAATGGATACTTTGTCTCTTGACATTGTACAATTTTATGAAATTATAATACATTAGAATTTATACATTTTCTAAATATGCATCTCAAGATGTTGTACACTGGAGAACATGTACATCATGCGATTTTTGGGAGGAGAAATTTTATTGTTAGGGATAGCCATCGACAGAGAAGATGAAAGTCTTAAGCTTGAACAGGGAGACAGTCCCCCCCCCCCAAGCGGATAACCAGAGACCATAGACGCAGCAGTAGAAAGGGAACCAACCTCCCATTGAGCCAGTCTTCCTGGGGATTGTGATCAGTCCTGGTTGCTGAAACATTGTTTTTTTTCTATTTAGTCTAACATAAAAATGGAAATAATGAACACATAACTGTTCAACATATTTTCACTACCAGCAAATATATCAAAGAACTGCATCAACAGGTGAATAAAATGTGCCGTCAAACACTCGCGCGTGCTTGTTCAGTGTTTGAGATGAACACCTTAAAAGTTTAAAGTGCCATGCATGAAGTAAAGGCGCGTCTTTGATACGGCAGGTACGCCATGAAGTTGAAAAGCCACTCTGCTCCAGATTCGACCCCGGCCGACAAAAAGCTTGGGGTGTTCAGGTACTCGCTCAATGCACTCCTTACATAACCGCTGTGTGCTCGTTAAACAATGTACGCGTGCTCATTCCACAAACTAACAACGCCATTGGTTTTAAAAGTCTCCCCCTGTGCATACTGCCCACTACGCTGACGGTGGAGGTCTCTACTCTTTCCAGGAACATTTCGCCTCAGATGTTTCCACATTTGCCAGTCGTATGGAAAGTGTCTTGTGGCATGTCCGACATCCTGTGGAGATCTGTGGTTTGGTGGTTAGCGCACTGCGTTACAAACATGGCTACATGGGTTTGATTTACTGGCCATGAATAACGTCAGTGGTATCGGAACCTTGGCATCTAAAAAGCCGGCTAAGCCTTAAATTAGTATATTTTGCAGTTTGTGAACGTCAGCATTTGGGAGACATAGGCAACCAAGTGTGGCACTGCCCACATCTACCCACGTATGTGTCATTGCCATCCTTAATCATGGATCCTATTCGTCAGTGAATAGGATCCATGATATCTCTAGCTAGTATTACCGCCTCATTCGATCTCACTCCCTGTATTCAAGATTTCCTACTCCATCTCTGCATCTGGCTCTGTCTGCATCTTCATTTGCTCCCGTTTCCTTCTGCTTGTGTGTGTGTGTAGCATCGCTAAGTTTGGGATTCTGTTCTTGTAATGTGTCCGAGCCACTTTCCTTAACTTTGTCTAATAAGTTGTCCATCCAGAATAGGTCCTCACGAGCAGCAGTCAGAATAACAAACCAGAAGGTCAATTGATTCTGACTTCCTGGATGGAGTGTCACGTTGACTTTCTGGATCCTGTCCTGATGATGTTTGACAATTTCAAACTCGGCTTCATATATCTAAATCTTGACTTAAAGCTTTCGTGACTGCAGGAATTCATATTCTTTGGGTCTTTCGGTAAAGTCACGTAGATAGATTCAAAGAAAATAACCAAAAACTACGAAGTTTCGATCGCAACACAAGCGGTCGTCATCAGGAAAAAGGTTTTAGCTTATAAAGGCAAACGGTTTATAAAGGTTTGAAATGGGTGTAGCCAAAATGTCAGCAGCATGGACCAACAAGAATATTCATATATATCTAATTTATACATTTGGTTGTGAGGATTGCTCTTCATCTTACCGGTGAGCTGAAACAAATATTGACACGATCAACGCCTGTACACGTGACAATTTGTTTGGCCGTGTCGGGTGGTGGAGGGTTCCTAATGACAGATTTGGTGAGGTCATTAAATGGTCTAACCTACAAGTGTTATGAATCATATTTGCTGCAAAAACCTACGTGTTAAGTTGAATGGGGGATGTTTGTAATTTCTCCGTGACAGCCTCCGCTGCTTGGCTCTGCTCTACCTGAGGATGTTCAAGCTGAAAAAGGACAGCGCTATGAAATATTCCAAGTCTCTCCTGGAGCATTTCAAGGTATTGCAAGTTGTTGGCCTTGTTAAGTGTTTGATTACGACGATAACTGTCTCGTAAATCACATTGAACGTGGAAATATGGATGCTTGTAATTCCTTAGAAAGGAGGGACGATATATATTGTTAGAGGATTGGTATTTGAAATTAAGTTGCCATGATATGGCGAAGCTATGATCAGTTGTACAATGTAAGGGCCACGATAATTGTATTGCTTTTTGCACTATATCGTCATAGTGTTTGTTGTTAATAATCTCATTTTACTTACATTTCTTACTTTCTGACAAAACATTCACAAAATGATTCAATAATCACATTTCTGTATAAATAGCCATTATTCATCAAGTTAATGCTTTGTGAAAAAAAATGTGAGCAATTAACAGCATGGCAATTATAAGATTCAATTTTTGTAACTCAAATAATGTATTTTTCGTGTGACAACAGCAAATGTTACAGATGGCAGAGTTATGAAGATTGGAATACTAATGCTAGGCTGATTTTGAGTGAACTGGCGTTGAACAACATTACAATATTTTTTTTTATTCATCATGGACGTACAGCGCATTAATCAAGATGTGCTTTACAATATTACGTGAAACTGATATGAACTGAAACTGTTAACTATATTCGTATTGTATCATGAAAAGTTATATCGCGGCAACTATTGTGAAACCTCAAACATAAGTGGACTTGAGCGAGCCATGTCACCAACAGAGATGGCAAACTGGCAGTAGGGAATGCTCACAAGGGAATGACCAAAGTGCAGATGGAGAAATTAAATAGGAGCACAGTTGGGAGTGAAATTGATTGCATCTGTGCAGGTTGAGTGATTTCGCCATCATCTAACAGCGGATTGAGAGTGGACGACAACGTAAATGATGGCAGCTATGTTGGTGACCTAATTTAATAAGTCAGACTTATATTGCATGGCAAGACTTGTAGTCCATATGTCCCCTTGTGCCTAACACACGATCAACACATGAATACATTTAAATACCCAGAACAAGTACGTGACGAAAGAAAAGAGAAACACATCTGATATAAATACACGTAAAGAGTGAGCAGCTGAAATTCCTGCTACAGAGAACGGGGGGAAGGCGGGGGGTGGACAGATGGCTGGGCCATATGGTCAGCAATGAAAGGCAGCGAATTCTCCAAAAAGCCTCTCCGCTGCTCAGCACGGAATCCGAAACTCCGGCCCACCGGCCTCGATGCAAGTGCAGCTGAATTGGCGTGTTCACGCAAAGCGTTGGGACAGGTCAGGCTAAATGACAGGTTAGCGTGTGGATTAATCATGTGCGGTAATGGAGAATGGTGCACACTGCACAGTGGGGCTAGCGCATAAACAGCCGCCCGTCGTTCACGCTGGTGTGTTCGCAAGCGCCGAGTGTGTTAAATAAAAAAATAACACCAGATGGCTCCTTTATGCAAGGGGTGATTTGAATATGGTAAGCGAGGCTGCCTTTGCAAACACAGGCGGCCTCTGAGGTCGAAGACCCCCATTTTGAGGTTGGCTGAGAGACTTTGTGAAAGCTATAAAGGCAGATTTACATTTTGTGTAAGATTGGATGCCAAGTGACGAAAAAAGTTACTCTACCATCATGGTAGTTTATGATTCACACAAGTGCTGCTGCCATCCCAAGAGGTCCATTGTTGCTAAATGGCATACACGTGCCATTAGACAGCATGCCACACCGACATTCCTGCATGTCAGAGACTTTTTCAAATTGTGTTTTAGGATTTTGGCACATTTTCACTACCGACATCCAAAAAGCTTTAAATGCACCAACATTTTTTTACTTTGATTAACTGGCAGTCACTCATTCTATTTTATTCGTAGTGCGTAAATATTTATGAGCGCTGAGCGCCATGAGTTTTACTTAGGCACTGCAAGCGTGATTAGAGGAGTTGTTAATGATGTGGGGTTTTTTCTGACTAATGGTTATTCGTTCATAATTAGATTTTTTTGGCTTAGATTTCAGAAGAAACTCGTACGGAATATTGGTCGTAGAAACCTAACATGTACAACTAATGGTTTTTAGCGTCTACTGCCGACATTGCAAGGTGCTTGTGCTTTGTGTTTAATTTTCAGAATGCCTCAAAGATGTCGCAGACACCACCTTGGACTGGAAGGTGTGTATACGTCTATATGTGTGTATCCACAAGTGAACACACAAGTGAACACACAAGTCAACACGTGTCTCAGTACATATCCCATGTACTGAGACACAAGTAAACACATGGATTTGCATGAGCCTAACAGGTTTTGACTTTGAGAGTAGAGCCTCATACATTATTTGCTGGTTAACTGTTTTTTATTTAAAGGTAAGCGTTTGCTCAATATGATGGTGGTAAAATATTGATAATTGTGCCTTTACACCAGTGCAGCAGCCTCATTTTTAGATTTCTAACTTAAATCCTGTAATTACAACTAATAAATCAATCTTCTATCACAATTGGATGACAGACGCAGACATTTGATTTATGCTGCAAAAACTTGATGTGCTATGAAGATCCAGTTCACGGGCATTGGTCTGTTCTCAGCTTGTTTAATATTACCAGCGTGCTTTTAAACACGTCTATGAAACAATTTCTTATAACGTTTCAATTTTGCTCATGCTACTTGGACAAGCTTTATAAACGCACTTTAAACAATGTTTTTTTTTATTTAAGCCTTATTCAGGGACGAAAAATCTGCTCAGTCATATCACTGATAAAAAACACACACAAACGAGCGGCGGCACGGCGGTCTGGGGAGGCTCATCGGGAATCTTAATCGCCGCACTTGGACATGGGAGGAGAGTGACCCGAACCTTCGGAGGGGCGGGGGGGAGGAGGGCAGCTTTGTGCATTGTAAGACTGTGCCACAGTCTAGCCCTCGTACAGCTCGCTTGTGCCTGAACACTTGTACAAGAACGGACAAAGATCCAACCCACATACAGCCCTGCAGGCTGGTGGGGCGTGCTATATTTGCGAGCGCATATTAAGGCGGGTACGGCACACAAGGGGTTGCTGTGGCCTGCACCACATCTGGCCACCTTTGTCTCCCCAGTGCTGATGTTTACACATCGCACCAGCTACTTGTTTAAGACTTAGTCGACCTAAGACTGGCTTTAGATTTTTGCCTCCAGTGTCAACCGTGGCAGGGAATCAAATGCGGGTTCTGAGTTAGTAGCGCACGGCGCTAACTGTTGCACCGCCACTCCCCGCTGATGCACACACACATGCACCTGGATACAAACACATCCCATCATAAAACGTTACCCAAAATAACAGTGACTTTATTTTGTTTTAACTTGCAACATTGTTGTTTATGAATGTTTAAAAGTTGAGTAAATATGGTTTATTTGTGTATAGAATTACATTTCACATTGTCATAGCACAAGACATTGCCCATAATTTGCCGGATTGTTTTAAAATTGCTTCTTTTGTAGAAGAGGCCAACAATTGGAAAAAATACTTGGACTTATAAAAAAAAGTTATGAACACCTGTGTCACCAGCCGCATAACACAAACCATCGGGAAGCGCGGCCCGTAACAAAGGTATATTTACTAACCACTGCTCCATCGCATCGCCCCATGCGTACACTTGCACTCTGGCACGCGCACATGCAGGGGCAACGGCACGCCGTCTCCCATGTCTCCCACGCCTTCGCCGGCGGGCTCGGTGGGCTCGCAGGGAAGTGCCAACACGGCAGCGCCCTCCTCGTCACCCGTGGCCACGGTCACCATCCCGCAGCGCATCCACCAGATGGCGGCGAGCCACGTGAACATCACCAACCACTTCCTGTACGGCTACGACCACTGGGAGCAGGCCGAGCTGCTGGCCAAGGAGAACCACGGTACGTGGGCGGTGTCGCGCGGGCCCTGCGGTGGCGCGTTCGCCGCTAGTTGCAGAGGCTCGCGGTTTGATTCCGGCAGGCCGCCCTGGTTATTACTGCGGATGTATCGACTGTAAAATACGTCTTCCGGTTAAGATTGGACACTGCGGCCCGCCGACATCTATAGGCCGTTGTGTGCCAGTGTCATGGTCCATATATTATAAATAAATAAAAATTGGTTAATTGTTACCTACCAGCGGCCCTCCGTTGCAGGGCTGGCAGAGTGGTGATTAGGCTGCTCGTCCATGTAAAGGGTAGTGTTTGTAAGCGCTGAACGTTTACCTGGGGGCTGTTGTATAGAGGTGTGGGTGAATTTATTGGATGGCTAATGCCTTGCATGCTGAATTAAAGAGCCCATGGGCACTGTGATTGGTATACAATCCATGTATAGCTTTAGCTGAATAATGTTTCCTGTGCAAAAATCGTTTGTGGTTCAGTTGCCCATTGCGCTGTGGCACAGTTTTTTTTCTTATCTTAAAAAAACCAGATGGGATTTACAAACATTCACGATGAGAACTTGATTGAGCACGTGTGTTTGTGGGGTTATCCTAACAGCTATTGTGTGTAATTAGTAGGGTAGGGAAATGCTTAACGTCACTGCATTATGATGCGGGCCCACCTCGGTTCTATTCATGGCCATGCACAACAAGAGCAATTGATGAAATAACCTTGTATGGGTCTCCCCTGGAAACGGCGCTGGGGAGTAAAGGGAGAGCCTGGACTCTGGGCGCTGCTGTGACCACCCATTTGTGTACCATGCATGCCTAGAAATTGCCTACTTATAACATCACTTGCTCCGACTGTATGTCTAAACAATTATCCGTTGTCTCTGTGTGTGCGCACTCCCCCGCAGAGTTCTTCCGTGACCTGGACCAGCTGATGGGGGCACTGACTCTAAACAGCAGCATGACGGAGCTGGTGCGCTACACTCGCCAAGGACTCCACTGGCTTCGCTTTGAGGGGCAACTGCTGTGATGTGCAGTGAACAGAGGAGGGAAAGGGGGAGAGCCAGAGACTGCCACGACGGAATGCGACGAAGCTTTACCGGCTTTAATTCCGGCCACCACCTGAGCCTTTCACGACCGCCACAAGACAGGTCATGCAGACAGTCCCGCATCGATTGACAATTTTTATGGTCTGTGACCGTTTGGGGAAGGTTCAGCCTCTCGGGGAGTTGAGATCAAGCTTCTTCAGTGGCATGCTTCTGAATGACATCGTGCTGCAAACGGTTTCTTTTTTTAAGACGGCAAGCAGCCCCCCCCCTCCCAACCTTCTGGCTGAATTTTTTGACAGCACATCACCACAAGGGCGATCAGTTGCCTTTGAGTAAACTTTGTGATGGTTTGGAGAACGCAAAACGCCGGGCCTGCGAGGGAACCAGCCGTCCTCTTAACTTGCCTGTTGGTCGAAGAGCAAGCCCCCCCCTCGGCTGCGCGTACGGCAGTGCAAACTCATATTTTGTAATTAATTTAACGTATTTATTCATGTACGTCTATAGTTTGATGCACAGCTCACAATTACTGTGCACGTGAACTGCCATGACTGTCTGCTTCTCTTGTAAGTTGATTATAGAATGTTAGGTTTTTTTGGGGTCAATGACGAGAATTTGCTGTCATTTGAAAGGCGAACGTGACTTGTTTTTGCTAATCTTTCAAAGGTTGCATTTCTTGCTCTAATTGATTACCTATTTGTCCTCCCTCTCCCCCCTTTAATCGTGAGTAATATATTAATCAGACATGCCTAAAACTTCCACTTAAAAGCATTATGGGGAAAACACTTTAAACTTTGGCGGTCAATGCATTATTGTGAGTCATTTTATACACAATTCCAAACATTATAAAGTCTTGGCTAACATTTATCATACGTTTTTTCATTATTCTCTCGCAGATAAATGTTGTTTGTGCGGACTGGTGTTATTTTCACAAATGTTCCAATGTTACACCGTTATATGCCGAGTCCTTCCAGTTGGTACTATTTGGAATTTAATGAAAAAAATAACATTTAACCAACTATTACAAACTTTATAAATTATTTGTCAAGGAAATCCAAGGTCCCCATTATTATATTTTCATGTTTTTTTCCCCATCGCACATTGTTTGGCGTATAAGCATCCATTTGATCAGTTAGTGTTCGATATCATTTATAGGGTTTCTTTGTTAGAGGTTTAATAGTTCAAGGTTGGAAGGCACAGAAGCTGTTGACAATAATTTGCTGTCGATTAATTCTTGCGTAAAACACCACAGGAATTAATTATTGGTAGTATGTTTTATAATTCGCGGGCCCCTTAATCTAATCTGTGGTAACATTGAAAACCGTTCAATGTTATGGATCTTCCTATATATTACTCTTTGGTTCTTTTGGTAAAGTCACGTAGAAAGAAATTAAATTAAATAATAGAATACGACGTTTCCTATGTATTGTTCTCCATTGTATGCCAAATAAGCTCTCAAATTTTCTTGTTGTGGTTTTCACACCTGATGATGCTTGCTTGTGTTGCAGTCGAAACGTCGTGAGAATTTTATTGTTTTATATTTTTATTATTTTATTGTTTCCCTTCTACTTGGTGACTTTACCGAAAGAACCAAGAATATAATAAGCTCTCTTCATTATTCAAAGCTCGTCTTGATGTTTTGCTGAAACACTAACACAAAAGCCAAAGAGAAAAGTGCAGAGATTTTATTTCCAGGAATTATAATTGGCTTGAGTTGGTTATTTTTGCCCACATTTTTTCATTTCCTGTTCCTTGTGGCAGCTTGGTGTATAATTGCGTTCATTTTGAATTGAGTCCGCCAGAACAGATCGTCAGTTTTGTGTTTCCCAAAATTAATGAAATTCCCATCCTGTTATACACAAATTATATGTATGTGGATCACATCAGTTTGAAATTTAAAAGTGCCACAGTGAGAAGAGTGACCAAGTTGTGATTTTAAAAAAGACCCAGCAATAATTGTAGTATTGAGTGAGAGCCCATATGAAAGAATGGACATGCCTTCCCTCATTACACATTTGTGATTCACTGACTGCAGCAGAGCAAGGCACCAAATAGAATACAGACGTGACAAATTTACTTGCGTATAACCGTGTTGAATTGAGTTTTCAGTGGGTACATTTCCCGCTTGCTAAGTGCTTGAAGGGAAGTTTGTTTGGACGGTGCCCCGTGAGACGTTGGAAGGTTAAAAATCCTGAGTGCCCTGCCTTGTGGCTCGAATTTTTTTCTGCAATAATATCTCAATGTTCTGTAACAGGTTCAATAGTTTGAATTTACTTTTACAATATTGGAAAATGTGGACGTCACCTTTGGTATTATAGTCACTTGGGTACAGCACAAAAGGAGTGTTCTCGGTGTAAATTTTGATTATGTTACTTGGAAATGAGAAACCCGGACCCCTTTAACACGTTTTGACTGTACCTGTTCTAATTAAAAATTTAACATTTTTTCCTCTCTCAAACCTGGCAAGATGCTGAAAACAATGCAAAGAGTTGTTTGTCGTTTACTTAAACTCTGCAGTGACTTTCCCATTCTGATTTTCCAATGTTGCAAAACACTAATCAGCATACATGCTCATGTGAGTGAGTCTAGCATTTTGTGGATATAGATTGTTTTTTCCAGCTGTAATGATGTGGAAGGATTATTGCACATTCATTATAAAAGCTTCACTTGATTAATTCTGCTGGAGATGTATCCAAGCTCCAACTCTGAATACTGGTTTTGATGCGTACTGTGTGGTGTAGCGGTCACAGATCTGAACATTATTCTTGATAACACTTCCTTGAGCTTGGTGGAAATGTGTGGCTTGCCAAAGATGTATAGGACACGGTGCTCACACTTATCCCAAGCGCTGAGAACTCTGAGAAACGTCGCTTGCAATGTGGTGACCCATTAGCGTGTTGCTGTCATTCGGAAAGCTGAGCATCCCATCCCTTTGTCTCGCACAGCCACCATGACCCAATTTGCAAATTAAGCACATGTGGAGCGTTGCTTTGTGTGTGTGTAATTTATCGGGTTTATGGCATCACCACGGCACCATCTCATTTGACCAGAGTGGCGAGTGAATCGTCACAGCGTTGTTGATTCTGGCACGGCAATTTTTCCCAAGCTTCTCTTGCCTCTTCAGATCTTGACTCATAATTCATTTGGAGCGTTTCCTAGCCAATATTATGACATTCATGTTTTACTTTTTTTCATGTCACTTGTAGATTACTTTTAGTGTTCTTGGTTACATCTCAGGAGTGACCATCACTGAGTGCCCACGTGCTAAGGATACCTACCTAACCCCTGAACCAAGGAGGCCAGCCCTGTTAATTCAATGACAATAATGTTTCAAATGCCCAGGCCACACGAGTCACGCTACATAAAACTGCCCATTTGCAAACTTCGCAAAGAGCAGTGCATGAATTAACACCGCTCTTCTTGTTAGCCCAGAATCACTGATTTCCACAACTTATTCTCAATGTATGTGTACAGCACCGGTACCTAGTAATGGTCATTACGGAGTATTAACTATTCGTGGGTGGAAATTCAATAAAAAGTATATACAAGTATAAGTATAGATATAACGTATATACACAAATATATGTATTTAAGTGTGTGTGTATATATATTTTTTAAATGCAGTGATATGTTGCCTGTGCAAGCAGTACAAGTACTGTAATTTATTCAGCTGTCAAATAATGCAAGTACACACGACTGACGTGCCCCTCCACCAACCACTGAGCTTGAGCGTGTCTTACGGCGCTAGCATGTCTCATTGCAGTACTCCACGCTCTCCTTGTCTTAACTCTTTGCATCTTCCCTTCTAATGTTTGTATTTTTTTTACCTCCGATAAACTTATAGGATGATTTTTTTAAGTGTCATTTTTTCTTGTTGTTGCAATTTTATTTAGCCTACCGGTGTAAATGTGAAATCGTTTTTTTTTAAAACAGGCCTTTTTTTAAGAATTTGCAATCACGATCATGAACATTGCGCGCTTTGGTTTAACACAGTGGTCTCATGGAGCCCCAGATTGTGCAGGGCATGCAGAACTTTTAAGTGCAAACCAGAACCCATAGTATCGACTGTCTCTGGAAGAGCAATGCTTTTTTTTACGATGACATTTTGAAGCGTGAAAAGGTTTCAACATTTGCTCGCATTATATCAACAGCACAAAAATCCTCACAAATATAATCGCTTTTAAAGTGCTCTTTTTACACTGATGAAAATGATACGAGTGTTTAATCTCTAACAACGTTGCATGACTTTTTGAAACGATAGCTCTGCACTTGCTGTGCTCCAGTCTGCCCTCTTGAGACCACCGTTTTGTTGTCATGGATGTGTATGTTACATTTATTTCACATAAACTGCAGTTACTTTGGCATGCAACACTTTTGCATCCTTTTTTACTTGGTCGGAGTGTACCGTCACTTTTTGTATTTAACCGTGTGCGCCGTCTTTGTGTTTGTATTATGCCGAAGTATTTTTGGGACCAATGTTAGCGTCGATCATCGTGCGTCCAAAGTTGAACGCTGCATGTGAAAGTGGCAATAGTTGTAAATAATGTGTTCATGCTGCCTGGCAGTGCTCAATTAACTAATACACCGTAGAGGCGTGATACACTGTAATCATAGTGCCCATAATACTTCAGTCTCGGTTCTGTGAATTCATGTTATTGGATGCATTTACAGAATCGTTAACTGTCGTAAGAGTCCACCAAAGTATAGAGGGAAACTATGTACAACTAAAACGCTTGACATCTGTTTAGACGTCTGATAAATTTCTGTTCAAGGTTGTTGAAATCAACAATTGCCCCTGTTTGCAGGTCGCTGGAGCAAACTCCAGTAAAGTGGATCGGTGGAAATCTTGTGACCAGTTAGTGTCTTCCTCTTCCTCTGCCAACCCGCCTGACGTGGGTGAAAGCTCAATAAATGTCGCCGTTAAAGGGCCTGTGACTGCACTGACGACGCATGTATGCAGGGTAACCCGGTTACCTTTAAATACCATGGAACTAATATTGATCCATGATGTTTGGATGCATGTAAGTTTTGTATGCGATAAGCGTGTTGCTTCCATTACGAGTTGAATTTGAATACCCGAGGTGGTGGTGGAGTCATAGTTAACGTGTTTGAATTGAGGGAACACAATTTAGTTTGCCCCGTCTAAGTTAACAGTTTTACTGCAGTGTTACTCATTTTATGAGTTTGCATTGAACACATAAAAGTCAAGGAGTGTACATGTTAAGTTATTTTATTTAACCAGGCGAAAACTTTGTTGAACCAGGTGAGACCAGCATGGTGGTCTGGTTTGCAAGTGACCTGAGTATACGTATGTGCCCAACAGCTCTGCGTGTCTACTGCATCAGCCAAGACGAGAACACGGACCGCCCTATTGCGATACGAATCCTGCTTTCCATTTCCGAGGTCAAAGTTGGTTGGCCCTTGTGGATGCAGCAATGTTTCCCGCACCAGTTGTGTCCTCTCACAGAGTGAAAGTACTTGCAGCAGGGGAAGACATCTAATGTCCATCGTTGTCGAGGGGTCGCTGGTTTTTTAAAGGTCCTTCTGGTGCGGATTGCTTTAGCGTTTGTGATCAGCTCACGGGTAATAGATGAACAGGCAATATTTTACAGTGTATTCACGCCTCCGGCTGCAGATATGGAGCCGAGTAAAGACAGCCTTTGCACAGTTCACTTTCAAGATGCACAACACTGTAAAGCAAAGCAATTGGTGGTTGTCGTGCTTGTTTTTGGAGGCAATGTTATGCAACATCTGCAATTTTAAGCAATTTCAGTGACACAAATTGCCACTGGGAGGTGAAAATTTCATAAGCTTATGATGGGAGCCATATCATCCATCATTTATGCAAAGCTATTTTTTTGTTACTTTCCTTGGCATTGGAAGAACGCCATGCTACAGGCCATTGGACGTAGTGTGTTTTAGTTTTATATATCGGCGTTGCACATTGATGAAACAATCGTGGACTGTGGGAAGGTTTGCAAAGGGGCTTGCTGTGTGTCTTGCATCACGAGCCCTGCCAGGGATGTACACTGACGATGACCGGGAACTCACGCGTCTAGAACAGGCCGTGATGTTGGGCCAACCTTGTCTCATTTTTCATCTGCCAGTAGACCCACACGTCGGTTTGGTGTTTCCAGAAACACATCTATTTGCCTACGTGTACAGTTTCATTTAATGGTGTCCCATGTTTTCATGTTTCAGCACTGATGCAGATAAGTTTATAGAGCGTATACGAGCTATTATTAGAATACCATGCAGTCGACCTTTGAATACTTTCTTGCAAAAATTATTTTGCTGCTACTTTTTTCATTGGTGATATGGCCTTATCTGATGCCAGTGCTTTGCAGCAGCAGCCGTCTTGATTAATTCGTCCGAATTCTAACATTGGTTTCAGACATTGTTTCATATGCTTGTTATTCATATTGTTCATATGTTTGGTACTTCTAATGCAGACAATGTTTTGAGATAGTGCGTTAATGACGGGCATGCATTTAACGTTTAGTTCTGTCTCGTATGTGCGTGTGTAGTTGTAGATGTAAGGAAAGCTTGCTGTTTATTTATGGGTATTTATAATCGTGCTTTAGGCTGGGCAGAGTAGTTTTGTAACCAGTGTGCGATCATAGTTATTTATTACGGGCCTGCGGTAGACTGCCCGATTCGCCATTTTAAATAATTTGTACGTGGAATTTTACAAAAGAGGTGATTTTATAAAAAAAATATGGTCAGTGTGTGTGCATGTGAGTGTATGTCATTGTTCAAGTGATGACTTCTCCTTTGTGTGCAAGTGTGGAGACTCCACAGTCGATCGACTCACATTTAAGATGTTGCTTGTAACATTGCTACAATACAGAGCTCTTCCAATACGTGTGGGTGGGAGGGCCCTCTACGCAGTGTAGAGAATGGCACCGTGGGACAATCCCCATGAACTACATCTGCGAAAGCTGTATCACGACCTATTGGTCCTTCAACGCTGTCCTATGAACACATCTAGATTTTCGTGCAGTCATGATTTTTTTACACGTAAAGGTAATATTTTAATGTCTTTTTTTGTAATAGCCGTGTTCATAAAATGTGTACAGATGAAATACAGCATTTGCAGCTTTCACATGAAATATTTGAACTTGTCTGATGCAAAGGATGAGCAAAGACCCGATCCCAAAATGTGCAGTCGCTTCTTGTGTGCCAGTTATCTTACAGGGTTTGTAGTCGACGAATATGTACAGTGGGTGATGGGTTCACCGATGGATTGTGACCTTTTAAAACGAGTTTTCAAAACATTCTGCCTGTCCGGGAAAGCACAGGGTTTGTTTTATTTTCATTTAGTTTCAACTGTAAAAAAAATGCTTTGTTTAAATTACTAACTATTTGTTGTATTTAGCAAAAAAAAGTATATGTTATGGCTGTTGTTCAAGTCACTGCTGTAATAATATTTGAAGTGTAAAAAATGCCCAAGTAAGGCGAGTTGCTGTAAAGACCATTTTCTACCGAACAGAATCGTCTAAGTGTGGTCTCGATAAGTACACGTGTCAATCTGCTCTGCTCTTCTGAAAATGGTACAGTGTCCTCTTTAGAAAGCTTTTTAATACTTAAACCAGCATCATTCTCGTCACGAACTACAGCTGTGTTTTGTTGGCGTCGATTTCTAAAATGGGCAGGCTGTTCACTGCATAGGGAAACGGTGGTTTTAGCTTCAAGGAAATGATCGGTTTTACAGCAACTGTTGTATACGTGTGTGCAAGTAGAAGAGCTAATATACATGTATATGCTTCATATATGTGATTTTTTATTACTGTCTGTTCATTTCCCATTAATTCATTAAATGCTTTCTTGTCCAACTATTCTGTTCGATTTATGATTTAAGAGAACGGTGATAATCTTGGTTGGCTTCACTTGGCGTGTAAAACATTAAATCTACAATTAAATGTTTGACACATTGAACCCTGGCGTCCTTGCGTTTGTATTGCATTGTGACGAAAGCCTCCAAACTGTCAAATCTTCACTTACGTTGGCAGCTCTCCACCCGCTAGTCTGATTAAAGTGTCATTATTATTAACGAAAATCGCATCGCCTGTTATTGATTGCAAGACAGCTTTGTTCCTGCCCACATTGTTCTGTATTATCATGGCCACACTACGCATTGCATCCAACTGAATCCTTGCACGGTCCAAGCGAGCGTTATTCACCTGATTGCATTGCTTCTCTCTGCAGTACGCCGCCTCGAGCGTGTGTGCAGTTCGCAAATACAATAAACATGCGGGTTTCACATGAGCGTGACGGATCTGTAATTGCAGATTGTCGACTGGGCAGAAACAACTTGAGCAGACAAGGGAAGGGAGGGGGCTCGGGGGATGTTAACGATGATGTCACTTCACATTTGCAATTTACAGAGACGAGGGTGACGTTAGAGTAACTAAACTCAGTGTGTTCCCAGTTAAGTTTTTTGTTGCTTTCATAAGCACACTGTCTTTGCATGCAACAAAGGTTCTGAAAACCTGTAGGGTTGATCTCCTCATCTGCCCAATCGAAGCCCTTTGGCACCAACTCTCCATCCTGTCTGATCTTGAGTTTATTTCACTGTACATGGCGCCTTCCTTCAAGTCATCAAGCAGCAGTATTTTTTTCTGCCTCTTGGCATCTTTCCCAACGTCCTTTTTATCGCCACTTCCTCTTACCAGTTTTTGCATCTTGAGTGTGGCCAATCCACATCTTGGATTCGTGAGACTTTTAAAAGCATCGCACGAGGTACCGGAACAAATATCCTCATTTTTATCCTCCAAGACATTTGTTTACAATAGTTTCTCCTACTTAAAAAATGGAAACTCCGTGCTATTGTAATGTGTAATTTAGCCAGCCTGCTTAAATAATGCACGCGATGTTTTCCACTTATATATGCACAATTTGTATCCACAATATTTAACACGGGGCGTAATACAGTGTGACTGGACGCCTGAGCTCTGCCCAACATCCGTGGATTTATCAAACACTTTTATTTTGTCTTCATTATCTTTTTAATTTCAGTCTAAGTACACCGATTAAACACCCCTCATTTTAGGCACGGTGGCATGTTACTCGTCCTCACCCCACTCCACGGTAGGCAAGGCACGGGTTCTATTGGGTAAAGTCACGTGACTTTACCCAATAGAACCAAAGAGTATGGATCCTAGCAGTCACGAAAGCTTTAAATCGAGAAAGGCACGGGTTGTTGACTGCCACGGTAGGCAAGGCACGGGTTGTTGACAGCCACGGTAGGCAAGGCACGGGTTGTTGAGTTCCACGGTAGGCAAGGCACGGGTTGTTGACTGCCACGGTAGGCAAGGCACGGGTTGTTGACTGCCACGGTAGGCAAGGCACGGGTTGTTGACTGCCACGGTAGGCAAGGCACGGGTTGTTGACTGCCACGGTAGGCCAGGCCAGGCACGGGTTGTTGACTGCCACGGTAGGCAAGGCACGGGTTGTTGACTGCCACGGTAGGCAAGGCACGGGTTGTTGACTGCCACGGTAAGCAAGGCACGGGTTGTTGACTGCCACGGTAGCCAAGGCACGGGTTGTTGACTGCCACGGTAAGCAAGGCACGGGTTGTTGACTGCCACGGTAGGCAAGGCACGGGTTGTTGAGTGCCACGGTAGCCAAGGCACGGGTTGTTGACTGCCACGGTAGCCAAGGCACGGGTTGTTGACTGCCCACGGTAGGCAAGGCACGGGTTGTTGACTGCCACGGTAGGCAAGGCACGGGTTGACTGCCACGGTAGCCAAGGCACGGGTTGACTGCCACGGTAGCCAAGGCACGGGTTGACTGCCACGGTAGGCAAGGCACGGGTTGTTGACTGCCACGTTAGGCAAGGCACGGGTTGTTGACTGCCACGATAGGAAAGACACGGGTTGTTGACTGCCACGTTAGGCAAGGCACGGGTTATGACTGCCACGGTAGGCAAGGCACGGGTTGTTGACTGCCACGGTAGGCAAGGCACGGGTTATGACTGCCACGGTAGCCAAGGCACGGGTTGACTGCCACGGTAGGCAAGGCACGGGTTGTTGAGTGCCACGGTAGGCAAGGCACGGGTTGTTGACTGCGACGGTAAGCAAGGCACGGGTTGTTGACTGCCACGGTAGGCAAGGCACGGGTTGTTGACTGCCACGGTAGGCAAGGCACGGGTTGTTGACTGCCACGGTAGGCAAGGCACGGGTTGTTGACTGCCACGGTAGGCAAGGCACGGGTTGTTGACTGCCACGGTAGGCAAGGCACGGGTTGTTGACTGCGGCGGTAAGCAAGGCACGGGTTGTTGACTGCCACGGTAGGCAAGGCACGGGTTGTTGACTGCCACGGTAGGCAAGGCACGGGTTGTTGACTGCCACGGTAGGCAAGGCACGGGTTGTTGACTGCCACGGTAGGCAAGGCACGGGTTGTTGACTGCGACGGTAAGCAAGGCACGGGTTGTTGACTGCCACGGTAGGCAAGGCACGGGTTGTTGACTGCCACGGTAGGCAAGGCACGGGTTGTTGACTGGCACGGTAGGCAAGGCACGGGTTGTTGACTGCCACGGTAGGCACGGCACGGGTTGTTGACTGGCACGGTAGGCAAGGCACGGGTTGTTGACTGCCACGGTAGGCAAGGCACGGGTTGTTGACTGCCATGGTAAGCAAGGCACGGGTTGTTGACTGCCACGGTAGACAAGGCACGGGTTGTTGACTGCCACGGTAGCCAAGGCACGGGTTGATGACTGCCACGGTAGGCCAGGCACGGGTTGTTGACTGCCACGGTAGGCAAGGCACGGGTTGTTGACTGCCACGGTAGGCAAGGCACGGGTTGTTGACTGGCACGGTAGGCAAGGCACGGGTTGTTGACTGCCACGGTAGGCCAGGCACGGGTTGTTGACTGCCACGGTAGGCAAGGCACGGGTTGACTGCCATGGTAGCCAAGGCACGGGTTGATGACTGCCACGGCAGGCAAGGCACGGGTTGTTGACTGCCACGGTAGGCAAGGCACGGGTTGTTGACTGCCACGGTAGGCAAGGCACGGGTTGTTGACTGCCACGGTAGGCCAGGCACGGGTTGTTGACTGCCACGGTAGGCAAGGCACGGGTTGTTGACTGCCACGGTAGGCCAGGCACGGGTTGTTGACTGCCACGGTAGGCAAGGCACGGGTTGACTGCCACGGTAGGCAAGGCACGGGTTGATGACTGCCACGGTAGGCAAGGCACGGGTTGACTGCCACGGTAGCCAAGGCACGGGTTGTTGACTGCCACGGTAGGCAAGGCACGGGTTGATGACTGCCACGCCACGCAGTGGCCACGAGGCGGCGCTCGCAGGCCGTGGCTGCGTTCCCCAGCGTGGTCACGCGACTCACCGCTCCACCCGTGGCGTGATTTGGCATTCATGAAGAGGAGCATTTACAAAAGGAATTGTGACGAGTCTGTATATTTCATTATGTAAATATACCGACAGTTGTAATGACAGAAATGATTGGCATCCATTGATGCAGGGGGAAACGCTAACGATAGACGATGCCGTTGGACCACCCCCAATATTTTTGGAGTGCACTTTTTTGTTCAGATGTTCTTTTTAAACGACTGTATTTCACCTGGAAACTCCCTTGAAATTGAACATCTCGTTTGCAATGCTGCCCACGTTACCAACGGACGCATACACCGCAAACACGTATTGACACGTGTACACGCAACTTATAAATCTGTAAATTATACACCGTGCACTCGTGAAAATCCATATGCGTGGGAGGAAACTGGAACTTCGTTCTCCACTGTTCTGTGCTTACACCGCAATTACTGTACACGTGTTCCGACTGAATCGGCACATACGTGACCAGCGTTAAAACCACATTACATATTCTGTATAGTTCCTAGATGTTATAGAAAGTATTTAAATATTTTCCACGCACAAACAACACCTGGCGCAGGTAAACATGGCGCGAGAGTCTAAAAAAATGGATACGGAACCAGGTTTCCTAAAGAACGGCTCGCCCTCGTCATGGAAATGTGGAATTTCCAACTCTAGGTCAAGGCTATAAACCAGGAAATGAGCGCATTTACACGATGGTTTATTTGTGAGCGAGAAACCGGGCCGATCGACTTTTTACCTTCCGGACACTGGGCCTGGCGCAGTGCCCACATGGTGCCAGCCTCACGAATCGCGAGGGGTCATCGGCTGCGGAGCTGCGGAGTGAAACAACAGACGGCAGTGCCGCAAATTCCACTCGGAAAAAAAAAACCTGATTTCTTGAGTGGCACTTTAACGCTGTTGTTTTTTTTTAATATAAAAAAAAGGTCCATCGTCTTTATCATTCGGCTTGCTGTCATCTTATATAACAGGGTGAAGTTGCGGAATTATGGAATACTGCACCATAGACGTAGACGAGCTCGTGTAAGGAAGATAAAGCAATGAGACCACCACGACGAATGAAATTGCCATTGTCCAACATTGAAAGACAACGGAAATATCTCACTGCTCTCATTCACGCAGAACCAGTCCTGGGCCACCGCCCCGCCACCAACCCATACTGACCAGCGAGGTGAAGTATGGTCAAACAACAACAACCACCACCCCACTCAACGCTGTGGGGGGAAGACTCATCCGAGCAAAGCATTGACAAAATGGTCTGGAGATGTGTAATCAATAACAGAGGTTACCCTTTATGGTAATAAAACAGGCAATTAAAATGTTCAAGCACCAAACACAAACGTGCAATGTGTCACAAAAACAAAACGCAGTTTCAAAAATACAATCCTGGTGGCTGCAAGGAAGACGTTTCGCCGCTCCTGTGCGTATTTTCGTGTCCCAAATAAAGCTAAATAAAAAAAACTCACCAGACGATCAGATATGGGAGAATGTAAATGCGATTCAGCAATTGTAGTCCAGTCGTGCGTACCGTGCGTGAACACAGCCGAGTGGTCAGACGTGTTCACCACGAAAGACGTGTTCACCACGAAAGACGTGTTCACCACCAAAGACGTGTTCACCACCAAAGACGTGTTCACCACCAAAGACGTGTTCACCTCGACAGACGTGTTCACCACCAAAGACGTGTTCACCACGACAGACGTGTTCACCTCGACAGACGTGTTCACCACGACAGACGTGTTCACCACGACAGACGTGTTCACCATCAAAGACGTGTTCACCACGACAGACGTGTTCACCACGACAGACGTGTTCACCACGACAGACGTGTTCACCATCAAAGACGTGTTCACCATCAAACACGTTTTCACCACGACAGACGTGTTCACCACCAAAGACGTGTTCACCACCAAAGATGTGTTCACCACGACAGACGTGTTCACCACGACAGACGTGTTCACTACCAAAGACGTGTTCACCACGACAGACGTGTTCACCATCAAAGACGTGTTCACCACCAAAGACGTGTTCACCACGACAGACGTGTTCACCACCAAAGACGTGTTCACCACCAAAGACGTGTTCACCACCAAAGACGTGTTCACCACCAACTCAGGCACTGTGCCATAGGCTTGACGGTGCAGTATTGCTTATTACCTCCAACGGCGTTCCGGACTTTATTCGGAGTGCCCTTGCCACTAACATTGGGTAACCCGGCATCATTTAACAAGCACGACAAATGACAGCCGGCCCATCATTTGCTTGCTTAACCACATTCTGCTTGGGTGATATGGGTATGGCATTGAGGCAATGACGACTCAACATTTGAGTTGTAGGGACACAAAACGGAGGTCGACTTATACTGCGGTATCGGTCGACGGTTCGAACCCTGCGTCAGTGAACATTAAAAATCATGCGACAGTATGTGATTTGCGAATTCGAATGTTCATTGTGCACAGGTGTCATATCCACAATTATTCTTAGTTTGACCCTCAATGGCCATTAAGGACGACAATCAATCCATCATCAACGTTAGGGCCTATTGTTATAATTGACTAATCATGCTCAACGACTGATTATTAATCAAATAATCAAATAAGGGCACGTGCTGAGATATTTAAGTAGCACATCAATGCAATTAACGCAATTAAATACTCAGACAAGGAAACAACTGGGATGTGGTGGCTGTGTGGGGTACGCGTGGGTTGGTGTGGATGCCAGGAGCCAAAAATGCCCTATTTGGGTAATGGGTATTTTAATGGGCGTGGCCAATCGAGATGGGGCGTGGCCAATAAAGCAATGAGAGAATCACAGATGGCCAATGGGGTGGGTCCAGCTAGAAATGGGCGTGGTCAATATGTTAATGAGAGTGCCTGGAAGAAAAGGCGTGGTCAACGGGCTCAATGCATTCATCAAACACACACGGTGGTTTTAAAATAATACAATACATAAGCGACGTTTCAGGTACTGGCCCTTTATATCACATCAGTCTTCTATGAACATTATTAAACATTTTACATGAAGAAGGGCCATTGACCGAAACGTCGCCTATTAAATCCATATATGTGTTTCTCTCTCCCATGTAAGGCCACGTGTTAGTGATGAATGCGTCGAGATGTTTCTGTGTTGTGTTGCGGTCTGCCAACGTAGCAGCAGCTGCAGGAATTCATATTCTTGGTTCTTTCGGTAAAATTACCTAGATGGAAAATAAAATAGTAAAATAAAATAAAAAATAATAAATTTAAAGTAATAAAAGCAAAAAAAACCCCACGACGTTTCGATCGCAACACAAGCGGCCTTCATCAGGCGGAGAGAAAAGAGAGCGGGCAAGCCTCCAAATGCAGCTGCTTAAAAGGTGATGATGACCGTTTGCGTTATGGTCGAAACGTCGTGAGGTTTTTTATTGTTTTATATATATTTATTATTTTATTGTTTCCCTTCAACGTGACTTTACCGAAAGAGCTAAGAATATGCTTAAAAGGGCTTTCAAAAGTGACCGCTTGTGTTGCGATCGAAACGTCGTGGCTTTTTTTTGCTTTAATTACTTTAAATTTATTATTTGTGATTTTATTTAAATTGATTATTTTTTATTTTATTTTTCTATCTACGTCACTTTTACCGATAGGACCAAGGATTCCAATGAAATATTTACTGTGGGCGTGGCTCGCCCGGTGGCAGGCGTGGCTAGCCCGGCGGTGGGCGTGGCTAGTCCGGTGGTGGGCGTGGCTAGCCTGGTGGTGGGCGTCGCTCGCTCCGTGGTAGGCGTGGCTAGCCATGCGATAGGCGTGACCAGACGGGTGCGGGCTTGGTCAGGGCGATCCCACGTGACCGCGAGCCGTGTATAAAAGGGGGCGCCCTGTAGGCGGAGTCGCACTGCAGCGAGGAATCTGGGAGGTCGTGGCTGTGTTGAGCGTCCCAAGTGAGTGACCCCCCCCCCCTCTCGCCCTGCTTTTTCTTTGTTTCGCTTCAAGCCACGTTACTCTCGAGTATAATTGCTCGTACAATTATTTCACCCTCCCACATTAAATCTGAAACGTTGGAGATGTTAACGCTATTAGCTATATATTATATTTTTTTGTTAACTATCTTGATGCCCGTATTTGCGCATAGCGAAGCTGTTGGCATATAACAAAAAAATTAACAAAAGAATTTGCCCTGCCTTTGTGGATTTAATGTCTCTTTTTCGCCAGTAATGTTTGCTTTCGTTAGCTGGTACGTGGGTGGATCAAACGGGCGGGTGGATTTTTTTTTCCAAGGATCTCCCCCACGTCTTTGGCTTTAAAAGCAATTTGCCAAATTTGAACATTAATCCAAATAAGCCATAAAGCAATTCCTTTTTAAAAAATATATAGAATCCATGTGGGCTTTCTAAGCGTGTACAGATTGTTAATATAAATCTGTGAACAATGTGGCAGTGCTGTTCAGCAGGTAGGTGTGTGCAGAGGGGCATGTGGCAGATTTCGGCTATGCCAAGTGGGTGGGAAGGAGAAGTCCGTGCACCATTTTTGTGCAGTGAGATTGCTGCTCGGTCATAGCAGCAAGGGTGGGGGGGGGGGGCTCCTTATCCCACTGCCAATTCGTGGCCCTGATCCCCCCCTCTCTGCAGACGAACAATGGCGACCCACATTGAGTGGGGCGTGGTCCCCCACCATGGCCATTGTGACAATGAGGCTCGTCATTGATTCATTCCCAGCCCTCTCGAGCACGGCCTAGGCCACAAATAAGTTTATAATTTTAATGCTATCATTGCACGCGATTAGATGTTGACTATATTTTTGTGTGGGATTTTTTTTTCTAAAATATTCAACTTGAAGAAAAATGGTTGCGTTGGTGGAGCGGCGAGGGTTATTTACGTGTTCATACTGCAAATACTTAGCCGTCGGTGGGTGTAATTGTTGCTTGTTGAGCCCAGACTGAAGGTAATACGAGAATTTATTTTACGAAACAAATGTGAGTTGGCGTCTTTGTGTCAAGGGCTGCCCCACGCCCATTTGTCAACAAAGGGGGCTTTGAGACTGTAGAAATAATATGTCGAGCAATTGACCCCATGCAATGATGGCACACTTGACTTTACAGGAGGGGGCCGCATTGATAATTGGTGAATAAATTAAGTCCTCGCCGTATATAAATGATAAATGTAACACGGTTACCATCCACAGTGACTTTAAAATGTATAAACTAAGCTATTGGACAGATGTCTGCAATTGAAATTGTAAATTGAGCCATTGGAATGTCTCAAGAGCCATCGAAGGCTGCTGCTGATGGGTGGGTGTGGTCGTGTAAACTTGTTTGAATGGGAGACCGTCAATTGGAAAAAAATATATTTTGGAGGTTATTTGCGAGGCTTCATACGTCTTGCGTGCTTGGTCAAATGTCGCCTCGTTCTTTGGGTGTAATCTGATAACCGGCGCCTTTGTTCTAATCAAATGAACGCCAGGCAAATTTGCCTCAAAATAACTTAAGCTTTTGCCGGCCCACCGAGGCCAATTCGCAATGCGGCAGTAGCCTCGGATGACATCTTAGAACGTGGCGTGCATCTATGCTCATGTGTAATGGTGTGTGTGTGTCAGCAACTCTGCAACAACATGGCAGACAAACCAGACCTGAGTTCGATTGAGACGTTCGACAAGTCCAAGCTTAAGAAAGCAGAGACCACTGAAAAGAACACCCTGCCCACGAAGGAGAGTGAGTATCCCCCCCCCTTCACTACCCTCCCCCCTCCTTGCCCGACTGCTGCATTCCACCCACACCCCCCCCCCCCAAATGCCTTGATGCCCCCTCGCTTTTATTTCCATTTCCGCACGACTACACCTGTGCTTCCGATTAGCACGCTTGGCTACGTGCGGTGTACAAGAAGTTCAACATCCATCCATCCCTCGCCACCTTCGCAGAAGTGCACGTTTTATTATTGTGACATTTCGGAATTAGTCTTCATACTGAAATAATTCGATGAGCTTTAAAGCTCTTTAATAGGTGTCCAGCATTTTGATGGGACGTAGAGATTTTGTTCTGTACTTATCGGTGAAAATGAATTTGCATCCAAAATTTGTTTTGATAAGATTAATGATGGAGGCTTTGCCCCCACGAGATGAACGTCAAATGTTTTTTTTTGTCAAATGTACATCTAATTTATTTTTAAAGCTAAGATTTAGAGTTAAAAGTAACCACAGCATGTGGCCGTAAATATTTGAGCCGTGGAGGGACATTAAAGTCTCTGGTGGTCGTTAGGCAGATGCATTGGCCTGTCACCCTCACGTGCTCCGTCAGGTGTTGCTGGTGTCTGACTCTGCTGCACGGCTGTTTTTGAAGACCACTTTTAAGTCCGCTTCATCGTTGAAAATGTATCCGGCTGTAGGGCTTGTGCCCAAGTCAAGTCGACCTGAGGTTAAATTTAATGACATCCCTTTCATGCTCCTGTAATGCATTGTTTTAATCGGTCTGCTAAGGAGTTTTTAATTGTGCTATCGAAGATGGAGAGGCCATTTAAAACTTGTATTTTTCTGAATATTCGGGCAGAATGTCCTTAATTTAGTATTTTTGACTAAATCGGCTGTTTGTTGACTCTCAAAATGTTGACCCGTTTCACGTGTGCATTTGTTCAGAACCAGTTTCTTCTGTAGAAAGTAATTGTCCCCTACACCACGTTTGTCCTTGCAGCGATTGACCAGGAGAAGAGTCAGCCAGACGCGTGAGGTGTTCAGGAGCTGCCGTGCCCTCAACATGCATCCCGTCCATGGCTCAAGAGGGGGGGGGAGACACTTCCCTGTGAAATGTGGTGGTCTTAGTTTTTTTACGTGAAATAATTTTCTGTTGTAAAGCAATTTACTTTTCCCCCTCCCCTTGCTACCAGTATGGGGACCAAACGGTTGGTTAACCTGTGGTTATGGGCTTTGTGTTAATGCCCCTCTAAAATGCCATTGGTCTGTTGGGAGCACGCTGTGCAACAAGCTTATTTGTAACGTGCACTTACTATGAACATTAAACAAACAAACCGATGAAAACTCTACTGCTGTGGTGATGAGGTTCTTTTTGTTTCATGTATGAACATTAAAATGTTGACTAGTGACTTGCAGATGAAGATGCTCGTTTCATACTGGCGTTCATAAACAGTTTGAGATGCAAGTAACGAGTAATCTGTCGTGGCATTTTTGACATTCATGGAAACGTTAACCCTCCATTTTATACCTTGCAGAATGTTAAGTCTGCCATTGTTGCTTTGGATGCAGAGTCCTTTACGCAAGACAATTGTTCTGTATCTAATTTGTTAGGCAAGCGAATTGACTCTTGATATTGAGCAAAAGAGTTTGGAGACCGAGCATTAACTTAATTGCAGAACAGAGCCAGGTTCTGTTCTTGCAAAAATAGTCGGGAGTTTTCCATGGACCCAAATTTGTATGCAATACAAGCCTGGGTTTGTTTGGATTGCCCACTTTTTTGTGAAACAAATAATATCGGGGCAGGGTATTGAGCAAAAGCCTCAGCTTTTTAATTCAGAACCGTTGGTCTTGTTTAGGGATTACCTGTTAATGCAATAAGGCCCGATGTTTGGAGTCTGATGCCTCGGCAAAGCTAGTAAAATCACATTTTAGATTTGTATTAGATTGCAGCCTCATGGTTTTGTAATTTCATAACCGCATGGTTGTAGTGCTACATTGTAATTACTGGTAGTGATTTAGTAGCTTTCCTGTTATTGTCATGATATTGCAATGGCCTACGTGGGGATTTTGGGTGCAAGAATCGCTAGCTCTCGTAGCAAGCCACCTTGAGCGATTTGCCCTGCCGCAAACTATTTTGCAACTGCCTTAATTCGGTGCTGCATCTTGCCCCTGTGGCCTCCAGTTTATGGCAGGCTGGGTGTGACGAGTGGCCCCCGAAGATAATGCCCTTGGTGGTACTCGTAGATTGTGGGACATTGTTATCGGTGACTTAACCATGGGGGTGCTGAAGGTTGTCCCTCATTGTGGATTTAAGAATGGTGACGGCACCAACTGTCTCCAGGCGCGTACAGAATTGCTCGTTGCTGATATGGCACTCCTAGGAAGTGACTAGTTGATAAACGAGCACGTTTTCCAGAAAAGCCTTTCGACGCTAGCTGCATGCAGTGGAATAATGCATCGATTTAAGTGGACGTCATATAAACCGCAATCCATACGATTCCTTGCGTGCTTTCGTAATGACGGCAATGTCGCATCAGCCATGACCAGTCCACTGCTGGAGGAAGGCTTCCTTGGCTATCACCACTTCGTGGTGTTATGAAACACTTCGCCTTAACTGCACACACGACGTGGTTATGCTAAGCAATAACCAATGGACACATTGTTTTAGCGGGTTTACACCTTGGAAAATCTCGTGTAACTTGGTTTTATAATTATTTAAATCGTCATGCTATCCTAGTGAACAATGAAAATGAGGGCTCTGGATAGATTATGGTCGCATTCACCCGGTAATATCTGCTAAAGTGCTCTCGCAGGCTTTGTACAAGCCTTTTGAGCTATGGAGGCACGTACCAAGTTGCAGACGTGGGAGGGGGGGGTGACGTTACAGATTATGCAGCGTTTTCCATAGAATTACTTGGCTCTGGAGAGAATACTGTGGGTAAGATTAATCGACCCACTTCTTACCTATAATTTCATGGTCGTGTGGATGAATAACACATCTGAGCTGTATTGATGGTAGCAGCGGCACAGTGGGTGCTACCTGCCGACCTGAGCGAGATTCTCGACCACGACTAACGTCAGTGGCGAGCGACATGGACTGGTCCTGGGCTTCCTTTAAACCTGCCCCGGCAGTCAATCCACTGCTGGATGAAGGACTCGCAAAGCTACCAGCATCACCTCGCGATTCTTAAATACAACCACTCGGCACAGCAAGCACGCACAACTCCTTCGGGGACAGCTCCTCTAGGATGGGCGCTCTGTCTTAGCTACCACTCCAATATCGTTCTTAAACATCGACTTTATCTTAAACATTTACATATCTTAAACATCGACTTAAACATCGACTTGTCTTAAACATCGACTTATCTTAAACATCAACTTATCTTAAACATCCACTTATTTTAAACATCGACTTATCTTAAACATCGACTTATCTTAAACATCGACTAATCTTAAACATTTACTTATTTTAAACATCGACTTATCTTAAACATTTACTTATCTTAAACGTCCACTTAAACATCGACTTATCTTAAACATCGACTTATCTTAAACATCGACTTATCTTAAACATCCACTTATTTCTAACATCCACTTATATTAAACATCGACTTATCTTAAACATCGACTAATCTTAAACATTTACTTATTTTAAACATCGATTTATTTTAAACATCGACTTATCTTAAACATTGACTTATTTAAACTTCGATTTATCTTAAACATCGACTTATCTTAAACATTTACTTATCTTAAACATCGACTTATCTTAAACATTTACTTATCTTAAACATCGACTTATCTTAAACATTTACTTATCTTAAACATCGACTTATCTTAAACATCGACTTTTCTTAAACATTGACTTTGCTTAAACATCGACTTATCTTAAACAACGACTTATCTTAAACATCGACATCCCTCCTAGCCACGTGTCCTACCCAAGCGCACTTTTCTTCATAGTTTGGATGCTACAATTTACCTACACTACACTATACACTACACTATACGTTATCTGGTCCATGTAATTTTAAGGGCGAATTTATCTCAATGCTTCCTTGCGCACTTTTAAGTTCTTGTAATTTTACTTAATGACTGTTACTGATCCATACATCATGGAGGATTCTCTTCTCGCGTATGGCAATAAGTTCAGGAGCTCAATGCCAATGTCGAGATCTGCTTGGCACAACGAGAGGGCTTCTGGAGTCTTTTGTTGCTCCTCCATTAAAAGAGTGCAGGCTCCAGTGGTTTACGACGGCAGCACGTGGCCCATATTGTGGCGTGCATGGCCACAATCAGTCTCGTCTTTCACGTCCCATTTACGAAAGAGGCGTGCGAATAGCGTTTGTTCTTATTTAGGTGCATTGGTCTAATTTTAGCTTTCGAAAGTACTCCAGCCTACTCTCTTCCACCTCATATATATGTGTCATGATATCTATGAGTAACTATATGTCACATATATAATTCACATTTCTCGGTGTACAGAGGCAGAGGGACAGACGCAACAACTTGGCCATTCCACTGCCGCACTCGGAGACCCAACCGGTGATCTCCGGATTGCAAGGCCAGTGTGCTGCTCAGAACAGCGCAGCAGCATAACGAACTAAAATCCTGATCTGGCCACAAACACGTGAAGGTGGAAGGGTTCATTCAATGGGCATGATGTGCAGCCATGAAATGGGTTTTGTGGCGCGTCAAACAGCTCATAGGAAGGGTTGCGCATATCGCTGGGCCTTTAAAGTGGGACGCAGCTTGAACCACCGCAATCACTTGGAATGGCATCAATCTCCTACCGTGCTCTCTATACTCTTTGGTTCCTTCGGTAAAGTCACGTAGGTATAAAATGAAATAAACCGTGCTCTCCTCTGGCTACGCACGATCACTGACATCGTTAAGAGTCTGTGCCTGTTTTGTAAGCTCAGTGTATTTTATGGTGGCTCAAATGCATTTTTTTAATGTCTCCATTTTGTGAGATCCGCTTGTTTTGTTGTTGCTGCTGGTTGCTGCCGTTGTTACGGTGCTGTGCGTGCGACTTGAAGGTCGTTCTGTTGAGGCAGGAGTGGGGGAAGCTTTCCTAATTGGACTTTGATATACACGTACCCTTTGGCAGGCAGCCACACATTAAGACGCACGTCAGTCACTTTTGAGTGACATTAACTGTCAAAGCAATGACAAATATATTGTGGACTGTCTTGGGAGGGAGCAATACTCGCATATACAGTGTGATACTCTTCCATATGAATTGTAATATCTATGTTAAAAACAGAGCTGTGTTAATTATCCATATTATTTAAATTCTATTTTGTTCTTGTAGATATCACGTAAGAAGTCATGACAACCGAGTTGTATGTAACTCAGTGCAGTTGCTATCAAAACAAATGATGGGGGACCCTTCATGCCTCATTTATATACCCACTGAGAGCTGACGTGGCCCGGGGCATCTCACGGGGCCGAACCCGAGGTGCCATGATCCCATGGCAGGCCTGGGCCGAACCAACCCCAACAACGGAACCCTCTTGGCTTAAAGCCTCGGGGAACGAAATGGGATGACTTCTGGTCAATGTGGGGTGAGATTAAGGCGCAGTGATGGAGACTCCTCAAGTTCAATTCCCACACATGGCATAACGTTGAAGAAAAAAAAACAAATTTAGCTTAAATTAGCCTCAACTGACCCATGCAGACATTTTTTTGTTTAAATATAAAAAAAAAATCGAGATCTTATCCTGTCTCGGTTACAGAGGGGAGGTTGTAGGGGAAGGAGTGGGAGGCATCACGGCAGCAGAGCCTCACGGCTCGCCGAATGTGGAGAGTCAGACCCCGTGGGCCCTGCCTGTGGGAGTCAGACCCCGTGGGCCCTGCCTGTGGGAGTCAGACTCCGTGGGCCCTGCCTGTGAGAGTCAGACCCCGGGGCCCTGCCTGTGGGAGTCAGACCCCGGGGCCCTGCCTGTGGGAGTCAGACCCCGTGGACCCTGCCTGTGGGAGTCAGACCCCGGGGCCCTGCCTGTGGGAGTCAGACTCCGTGGGCCCTGCCTGTGAGAGTCAGACTCCGTGGGCCCTGCTTGTGGTGCCTGAGGCAGAACCGGGCACTTCATGGGCCAGCTCGGCCCACTTTTGAGAGACCGTGGAGACGGGGAAATAGAAAGCACGATCTTTTGTATATGGCTCAACAATATTTCTATATGGCTTAATTTGTATATGACTTAACAATATTTTTACATGGCTTAACTATTTCAGCCCATCTCGTGAGCAGCGGATAACCAAATATTTTAGGAATCATTAGGAAAAAAAGTGTGATCTCATATCCAATCACCCAGTGGAGATGGTGCAAACTGCCATTAATTTATTAATT